AGCAACATGTCCGATGTGTCCTTGGGCAATACACTTAACCCTGCATTGCTCCCACTGCTTCAGTGGTGGTGTATGAATGGATTAGTGTTGTACTTACTCTCTGATGTACATCACTTTGGTTAAAAGTGTCTGCTAAGTGAACAGACACATGGCAAACCGATTCTTATTCATTTATTCTCCTATTAATTGCAGATATTATTATATGCAGTATGAGGCTTAGAAAATGCAGAAAATCAAACCCTTTTCTGAAAGAAATATGAACTGACGAAAATGTTGTTGTCAGCGTGCAAACATAATTTCTGAGGAAAATTGCGACGTGTGCAATGGCCTTTATGTAGAGGCTGGATGAGCCTCTTTCAAGTTTCACATCCTGGAGTTATTGAAACTGTTTTGCATCAGAGCAAACTAAATTTGATCCTTAAATTCAAATGTAGAAATTCACCTTGTAAATCTCCATAGGTGTGTCTGTTTATGTTGGAGGTTTGTGCGTCAGCGTTAACGCTGAACAGAGACCTGAGTCCAGTGTCTCAGCGGAGCTCTGCAGATCTGTTTCTGTGTTTTCTGCTCTGTGTCTGGTTTGTTATCTTACTTTTATCCGGTGGGCGGCTGGACAGCGCAGAGAAAGTGAGGTACATGACGTAACAGCTGATGATGGAGGCTTGGAGGAGTCCGGACCGAGGCTGCTCTGCAGAGACAGAGAGAGAGAGAGAGAGAGAGAGAGAGAGAGAGAGAGAGAGAGAGAGAAAGAGAGAGAGAGAGAGAGAGAGAGAGAGAGAGAGAGAGAGAGAGAGAGAGAGTGTCAGGTCGGTATACTCAAAAATCCAAACTCAAATCCTTTACTCTTACCCTCAAAAATAACAACACTGCAGTGACCAATATGTGCTTTTCAATTAGTTCATTTAAAAGTAAACACTTAAGTGAAGTCCCAAAACCTCAAGAACACTTAAATAAATGGACTTAGTTATTTCCACCTCTGCAGCAGCTGTAAGTTTCAATCATAAAAAACAACAAACATGTGCAGACAAAGCAGGTCTGCAGTCTGAGAGAAACAGTTGATATTATCTTACATCTAATTATTATTATCTGCAGCAGCTCTGGTTTCAACGGGGGGGGGGGATGTTTTGCACTAAGTGTTATTTCACCGCCGAGCGTCGATGACAGACAGTGTGGCGTGTGTTTTCATCGACTCACTCTGCTTCACGCACGGTGTGATGGCTATGAAGGACATGAGGCCGCAGAGCCCCAGGTTGACCCACAGCAGGGCCTTGTTGAACTGACAGGCGATGGGGTGCGTGTAGTACTTGTACATGAAGGTGAAGGCCATGGTGGCGATTGTGTAGAAGAAGAGGGTGGCACACGTCACCGCCAGATACCAACGCTTGTTCTCTTCTGCTCCGGTTAACCTGCGAGCAAAAAAAAACAAGAATACAAAGAAACATTTAACAGAGGACATTTATATTTATATTGTGTTTGATATGAAGCACTTTGCCTTTAAGGTTGCTCATGGTTACGGTTGGTAGAGTGATGTAGCTTTAAGACAAGTGAAGTGATGGATCATTGATGTCTTTGTTCGGTCTGTGTATCAACGGTCAAATGTATCTTTATTGTCCCCACAGGGCACCTCTGATGTCATGCTGCTTTACCACAGGGAAGGCAGGCAACTGCTTGGAGCCCCAGGCTAGTATGGCACCCCAAGAGGATGACAAACTTTAAACAACAGCAGTGGATCAACATGTTGTGTCAGGGGTGTCAGGGGTGCTGTCCCATCTGACAGCACTCACTCATAGAAAAGTCAATGACTGAATGTTGCCTGGTCCAGCTCTAAATAAGTGGGAGAGACACTTGATAAACATAACTTCCATTTACGTTTCCCACTGTCTTTGTTGGTGTCACATTATCTGTAATGTACTGTAATGGCCATGAACTCAGGTTGGAAGGGCCCCATGGGAATTTTTTCCCTTGGGCACCGCAGCAGACCCCAAAAATCTAGATCCTGTTGGGGCCCTAGGCAAATATCAATTGAAAGGCCCTCCAATCTCCGTTCAGCATGCCAACAAGAATGAGTGCTGTCAGATGGCGCCTTCTTATGGAGGTTTTCTTACCGTCATTGCAAAATTTGTACATGCACGCCCCGCTGCTTTGGGGCCCCCCTACTGGTCTGGGGCCCCAAGCAATTGCCTGTCTTGCCTGTTGACAAGCAGCGCCTCCAACTGTACGTCAGGCTATTCTACAAGACTGATATTAAAAGTGTACCAGACGGACTGCAGAAGATGTCCTCCTGCTGTTGCTAACCCACACCTGAAGGTATATTTAATTAAGTCTATTGAGTGATAACGGCAAGACAACAAAGAGTTAAGCTTACAATCAACATCACCCAAAGAAACGCTGTTACACTACAATAAGTCCTTTCAGCTCTACATTGAATGTGCATGTAATGGAGATTTGCTGAGAGCTTTTTCCATGTCTGTCTATATAACCACTTTGCTATAAATATTTATCTTCTATTGAATATGTTTTACGACTGAAGTGATTTAGAAGATAAAATGTAGAGGAGCAGAATCAGAAGAAGAGATTGTCCAATGTCGGGTACCAAACAGAGCCAAACTGCAATCATGTGAACAGAAATTAAATCCACCAATGACAAAAAATGTGAAGGTGAAATTTTTGGTTCCAGATGTTTGGATGGATGATACAGATGTTGCTGAAGTCAGTCTGTGTGGTTTACAAAGTGATGTTAGACAGAAGATGAATCCATCATCACCACAGTGTGGAGGATGGACTGTTTTCTCCAGATGTGATCCGGTCTGCAGGCAGTATGTGTTTGTAAGTGTAAGGATCACATGTTGCATAAAAATACACGTTTGTGTCGTTCTGTCTCTTTGCTGGGTTATGTTTGGTTCCGTCTGAGGTCCAAACTGAACTCTGAGTGGTTGAAAAAATTCCCCCAAAATGTGGGTCATGATTTCTAATTACGGAGGAGGTGGTGGATCCTGAGGATAGACAAGTTGAGAACCACTGGATCAGAGTAAAGTCAGCAAACATAACTGACATTTTTGTGAAGTAAATGTATTTCTTCCTGCTTGTGACCCCAAAATGATTCAAAGAGATGTCTTTATGGCAGTACTTGATTTTGATTTTTGCATCAAATGATTGAAGTAAGGCATAGGGCAAGTCCAATATATGTCTCACCCTCGTATGTGATCGTAAAATGTGTCATTTTAAACATCTGGGCACGCTGTTGCTGCTGTGACAGCATCCACTCTTCTGGTTTCAGTCCGTCCACCAGAACGAAACTCAGGAGCAACAGGTCGGATTCGAACCCAAGCTACCAGCTTAGAGACTATAGCCTCCGTACAAGGGGCGCACGCACTAACCACTACACTTCCTGCGCCACTGTAAAGAAATATTTTTGACTAGATATTAGATAAATACTCTCGCTTAGATTTGAGTTTGTTCCAGTGTAGGCACATTCTGATTAAAATGTATGTTAACTTTTGAAAGCAATGTTTCACTTTTTGTCCTGTGGGTCCTGGGGGGGAAGCTTTTCTTTGATACATGGTGGGGCTCCAAGGAAAAAAGGTTGGGAACACTGGTCTAATACAGAATATAATATAATAATGCCTGCAGTCATATTAGAAGCTCTTTAAAGTGCTGAGACCAAACCCAGGATTAACATAAATTCTAAGACATACAAAAGTATCTCAACAGCTGCGTCCACCCTCTTCCTGCCAAACACTGTAATACTCATATGGAAGTTTTATCCATCACCAGATTGTTTTACATTTTCCCCAATGCTTTCTGTGTCAGGATTTATTCCACTATCACACAATTTAAGTAGACCAACAAATAATATCTCACTTTCTGGACTCTGTGACTCACCAGTTCTTGTTCCAGGTGTGTGCAAAAGCTGTGATGAGGATGAGTTGGATGAGGATGAAGGCAAATCCTCCCACCACACCAACGTAATGCCAAGCTGAGAGGAGAGAGAGAGAGAGAGGGAGAGAGAGAGAGAGAGGGAGAGAGGGAGAGAGCAAAAGACAAGTGTGATTTATTTCAGGGAAGTGAGAGAGGGACAGAGAGAAAGAGAGAGATCCGTAAATCACATCAGAGCTTTGATATCAGACTTGAATCACCAACAGATTTGTTGTTCCTAAGCAAAGTGAAATCTCGCTGCACAGATTTATGATCCAATAACTCACGAACCTGAGGAGATTAATTTCAGGAGTGGCTCTCTGCCGCCCTCTAGCAGGACACAGAAGGAGGTGCACTCACACTATAATATTAATTCATAATCAATTCCAAACAGAAATCATTGCCATCAGTGGGATAAATTAACACATGTATGAAGTGATATTAACACCAATCCTTCCCCAGCAAGGGTTACATTTATTTAAAATAATACAAAACTTTATTATATACGTTGATTGTGAGTCAGCACAATCAACTTTGTAATAGTGTCTCAAAATAAGATTTATTTATCTGAAAATAATGACCTTCCATCTGAAGATGATTAAATAATGACTTTGTGTGTAAAGTAACTAAAATTATTTCTGAATATTTTTTAAATATTGAACAGTGTTCTCAAAATTAAGTGTTTTTATCTTAAAATGAGACAATATCTACACGTGATGACCAACGAGCTCAGAATAAAAATTTTGGATTGTAAAATTTTATAAAGTCTGCTCGATGAATTGTGACTTTTATGATGCAAAATAATGAAAAAAATCCTAAAATAATAAATAATTGCCTGAAAATAATGACTCATAAGTTCCTCTAAATAACGAGGATGGGCTTCAATGTCCTGAGATATTATCTCTAAAATCTGATGCAGGGACTCTAATGTAAAAGCATGTATCATGCTCACCATGTAAGAAGGACTCTGTTGGGATGAAGAAGGCAGCGGTGCACGTCCCCAGCAGGGTGATGAACTTCAGGAACCAGAAGCTGAAGGTCAACATGTGGAGAGACATCACAGGTACGCATATTAACATTGAACGAGTTTAAAACTGAAGACAGTAATTATTTTTTAAATAAAGCTTTGCGTTAGTTCATGCAGGACACAGAAGTCAGACGCCCCGGCTGTGATCAGCTGACAGACAGACAGCTGATCAAATCACTTTTTCCATCTTACTCATGCACCAATCACAGCTCATCATCACATGAAACCTATGGCATGCTGCTCAGGGAGGATCCTTTTAGCAGAGCCTTCAACTCCACAACAGTATGTCCATTCTGCAATAAAATAGAGAGTGGTCCTGACTGAATTATCATTTTTTGTGCCAGAATGATCTCGCTTTGCTGGTTCTTTCCAAAAATGTCTCAGTGGGCAGTAAAGTAAGTGTGAAAACTTTGATCAGGTTTATATTCAAACAGTTCTTCTTCATGTTTAAAGCAATAACACTATCTGGTCAAATGATGTATCCCTCAGTTCAGGGATAATCTCTTAGCTATCATTCAATTCTTGTTTTAGATCAAATCCTTACTGTAAAACTTCAAATATCCCAATTTAAGACCTGGTCCCTTTTGGACAAATAAAGGGCAGGTCTCAATTAGAGGCCCCCGATGCATTTAGTGTCGATTAGGACAAATATTCTGCAAATGTTTTGTTGTTTAAAAAAGTACTCTCAAGCTTTGTGTATTACTGCGTTTGTTCTATACTTCAAAGCTCTAAATATTCAGTAAAAAGTAAAAACCCGAGCTCTGTTATATTTTCTACTTGTATTAAAAAGGTTTACATTAAGAACTTATTCTTCGACGACATAGCTCTGCAGTTTACTGGATTAAAGCAGCAGCCTCTGTGGTGAGAGAATTACAGATCAAGTCTAAAATCCCTCCACGTCCCTGTGGGCTGTGTGCTCTTAAAGAGGACATGCCTCCTTCAGTGGGGCACTGGGTCACCCTCTGACCCCCCCCTCCTCCCCCTCACAGAGCAGACCGAGCTGTAACCTCTGCCAAAGACCCTGAAACCTTTTTCTCCCCGAGGCTCTGATAAGACCGCTGTGAGTAGACTTAACGCAGAGAGGACCAGTGTTACAAATCCTAATCCCAGCTCCACGTCAGCGCTCTAATCGACAGCTCTGGAAAGTGTGACAACAACGAGCTTTAAATAGAGCAGCAGGTGAGCCGAGAGTGAGAACACTTTCTCTGCACAGGAAGTATTTAAAGACGGGCGAGTTGAACAATCCTGGATTTCTGAAGATAAACATTCAGAAATCTATTTCTATCTATTTCAGTCTGTAAGTGAAATCTTGTGTTTGTAATGACATCCATAATCTGCACCACATAAAATAAAGTCAAAGAAAAGTCTTGAAAAATCTGTTCATGATCTGTCTCAGAGGTTTCTGTTTACTGTAAGAAACCCTGCAGCACTGACCCGTTGTTAATGAGCGCTCTGAAGTCCTGACTCGACTTCACGTCTATGAGGAAGATCGCCATCATCAGGTAGAAGCAGGAAGTGCCGAAGCAGACTCTGTAGACGGCTGAGTAGCCGACCAGCATCTCACAGTGCCCCCCGCCGTGCGCCTGGTCACACACCACGTTAAAGAAAGGCACCTGGAACACACAAGGTGGGGGGGATTAGTTTTAAGAGTAGATCCTTGTTGTCTGTACTAAGGCTCCCAAACGACTACATTTCAAGAAAAGTCGATACTAAATAAAGACGATACTATTTCACAGATTTAAAAAGAATCTGGAGATGTTTGGTTGGTTGACGCTGGAATTGAACCTAACTGTCCCATTTGACTTTTTTTTTTAGACTTCATGACAACTAAAGTGGTGACATCGATAATATGACTTCATCTCGTAACTGGTCACTTTCACTTTAACTTGCCACTTAATGAACAACATGCCTGAATGTCCTGTATAGTTTATAGTTTGGATTTTAATTGGTTGCAAAGTAAAGACATTTATGTTGATATTGATTTTCACTTTCTGAATAGTAATAAAGGGAGTTCCTATTTATCTGACGGCTTGTCTTCATTCATGGAAACGTTACCATGTGCAGTAATGTAGAAAATTGAGGATGCAACCAGCCGTGCAGCATCGAGTCAAATCAAATCATGGATTATTATCCAATCAAATCGGGAGGCCAGTGACGATGTGCAGCCCTAGTCTGCATGCTCTCTGACTTTCTTCAAACTTATTCATTTCATTTATCGGATCTTTTTCTTTTGCATCTTTGACTACCTTCACATGATCTCATGTCATTAATAAACATGTAGCTGCAGCTGATCACTAACCCTGTTAGGAGTTGATACAGACTGCAGAGCTGAACTCCAGGGTCTCATCTATTCCTCTACAGCTCAACAATTAAGGGGTGAATGTCTTCAAGTGGATAATCAGTTGACATATACGTATACCACCAACAATTAACAACAACAAAAATACAATCAGTGGAATTCAATGATCTAATTTCTGATGAAATATTGTTAATGTTGCTTTCAAACACTGACTTACATTAAGAGGGCAGAATTAAGTGTTCTTGTGCTTGTATTTGACTTTTATAAATGCTGTGTTATAATTTTATTATGTCATGATGGGTGTGCGGAGATAAGATCCAGTAACCACTCACGTTTTCCCTCACAAGCTCAGAGACGGTCTGGGACAGCATGAGGCAGGAGACGGCACAGCTCATGATGTGGAACAGGGTGTACATGATCCGCGTGCTGGTGGACGACTTGACCGGAGGACAGAAGGCACAGCAGAGCGAGCAGGGAGCCGGGCCACAGCAGCAGCAGATCTGAGGAAGAAGAGAAGGGAGGACGGAGGTAGATCAGCATCCAAATAATCACAAAGCACACGTCGAACAACACAATACTAAAACTCATCGGGGGGGGGGGTCGTCTCCTTGGTAACTCACAGGAAATGAGCCGAGTGTGGTCCTACAGAAAGCCGTGTGAAGGTCACATCAAACTGTAGAAGTGAAGGTTTCTGTGCTGAGCTACAGTGGAAGGACAAGGAGCCACAAAGAGACGTTTCAACTTTACTAATATCTTGATCCTTGTAGCGGAGACTCAGATTAGTGTCTGCTGATTTCTGGAGTTTATTTTATACTCAGCCAGTTGTCAGTGGACCATTTGGCTGCATGCGTGTTCAGGTGTCTTGACATCAAGCAAGTGTCAAGACGCCTGACACCTTCAGCGTACCCGTTCTGTGGACAGAAGTGTCTTTTTCCTTGAGTCCTCATGCTGCATTCATGTGGTGTCGGACACATCGGAAAAAAACGAGTTTCTGAGTTGTAAAATGCACATGACCACCTGTTCAAGTCGGAACAACAACTCTGAAACTTGGAAAAGAATTAGTTGGTTTTGTTTGTGTTTTGTGGAAGAAGCTTGTTTTGTGTTGTACATGTTTTATTTAGTTTGTAATAAATCCTTTAAACGTTTGCTTGTATTTAGTTCCTCCTTCTTTTCCCTTGGTTTTATTACATCGTTACTCCCCTCATCCCCTAGCCGTCTCAGGGAATGTAACCACAGAAAGAAAACTAAATGACTCTGACGGTGCATATCGTTGAGGCCAGTTAGGAAACTAAATCTTTGCTCATGTAGATGGCGACATGCTGAAGACAGTCTTTTCCAGCCAGTCATCTGCACTGTAGCTCTAAGAGAGACTAAATGACAGTTCAGGTTTGAGACAACACAGCACAACTCAAATGTGAGCAGTTTGTGACGGGTAACGTGAGCCAGGACCCCGAACTCAAGCTGTCTGAAGAAGTTTGGAGGTCAGACAATCAGACAACTTGACACAGATGGGAGCGTTTGGCAGAGCAGCAGTTAGCAGCAGATTAATCTTACGAGTCCATCAGCATCTGGCTGGTTCTGATTCTGACGACTGGATGTGAGCCCATCCCTGCTGATCCTGAACTAAATCTTAGGAGGCAAAAAAAAAAAACCTGCACGCACATCTGTCTGATGCTGCAGCAAACTCAGCAGATTACAGTCTGCAGGTCTGTCTGAAAGGTCAGCGACGAAGGATGGAGAGACGCAGTGTCAGCTGTTCCAATGTTGCTGTCTCGCGCCGTCTCTTTCAATAGCTATTCAACATGAATGCATGAAGTCAGATGCAACACGTGCAGCCTGAGAAATATTTTTTCCCACACTGCACTATTATTTTTTTATGAACGCTGTTGCAGTGAATCCAGAATTATTAGTAATCATCACGCGCACGTGTTAATCTGATGGATAACTCGGAGGGAGATTATCCGACATCTTCTTATTGAATGGAGGACTGAATAAAAATAGAGCTTCAATCGTGTACAGTAGAGAGCTCAAAATGATTCGACCCTGAGGGAGATGAATCATGATTAAAGGGACAGTTCACTGCTCAGTGCTTCACATCCGACAGCGTCCTCATCAAGTATTTCTGACTTCATCTATCTATAAATCCAGGGATCTCTGTGTGTGTGTGTGTGTTTGTGTGTGTGTCTGTTGGTCGAGTTTCTACACCACCATTCCTCCGATGAAGGTCAGACTTGGCGGTTGTATTGCTGTGGACCCCAGGAAGTGCAGTGCTGATTGTGAACTTTAGATGAGCTCATATTGTTGCTGAAACATTTTAGATATTTTTTTCTGTGGCGCAATATAACGGAATCAAAACTTAGCAGAAACACGAGACGAGATGGAAGCTCTCTTTAGTACTAAATACTGTCCTCCTTACCGTTTGACTGTTTGATGTCATTTTGTGTGATTAACGTTCGCTTAGCTGTTATTTAACGTTAGCTAGCCATGCTGATTTGGTACCCTGGAAAATGACGTCACTGTCACTTTATTGTGAGTAACGTGTTTCACCTGTAGCCTCCTCAGGTTCGCCCAGCATCATCACAGCGCACACACAGGTGTGTTAAATAATGACCCATTATCACAATAAACATTATTCCTGGTCACAACCTCAAACGAGGACTATAGCGTGCGTCAAAACAACACGACATAGTCATCATATATAACCTACTTTAGTGAAAAGCTGCTGCAGACCTCACGCAGCATGCAGGACTTACAAAAAGATTAAATACATGAGATTTTGCTGGCTGCATAACAGGCTGGTGGCTTTCCTGTGTTTGTAAACTATAACCAATACAAAAAAAAATCACTTAGAAGTTTGTATATCTAATCCAGCAGTCCGTCAAATTCTATTAAATCTCCCATTTATAAACCCCGTGGCTCAATGTGCGCTCCAAGACATGAGAGGTCAATAATGTGATCTTTGCAAACTCATCAATCTGTCAGTCCCCCCAAAAAAAATATTTTAGCTGAAATGTAGGAATGAAGACAAAATCAGAAAGTAAGCTCCCTTCCGTGCAGGCGGCCAGGTGTTCAGTGAGCGTCCTCACCGCTGCTCACGGCGTCCTCTGGCCTACTTTGAGGTTTATAATACAGGATTAATAATGAGAGGCCTCCATCTAATACAGTGACTCATACTGTATACATGAAGGCCAAACAGTGACCAGTCTGAGCATACTTTATTCATGCACAGAGAAACAAAGTCGTAAAACAATACAATAAAACAACTGTCTTTTTTCCAGAAACAGAGCAGAATGAAATCCAGGTTGTTTGTTCGTGAATGATTAAAGAAGCAATATGTGAGATATCTAGTGACTGAAATGATGATCAGTCATTAAGGAAACATGCTATGTTGAAGTGCTGGCTTCTCTGACAACAATGCAGCAGCCAGTATGTCCTCCTTCTGACTTTAGAGTCTGGTCCTGAATGCTCTGGATTTGTTTGGACCAGAGAAGGTAGGCGGTTTTACAACATTCCCACACAGCCGTTTTAGATGTCCCTCGGTTTGCCAGATGTGAGAGCAGTTATCAGGTCAAACCAACAGGTGTTGCAGCGATGGAAGCGGACAAGAGAAGTGGTTCAGATAGAAGTGATTGTACTCGACCTAAAAAGCCTCTGCATGTTTCTAATAAGCTCCACGAGCAGAAACGTGCTCAAACTAGGATCAATATTGGAGATGCTTTTGAAAAATGGAGAGAGGTTAGAACGCAGAAAGGTTCACAGACCGATGCAGAGCTGGATAAACACTGAAGCTACAGTGTCCACCACATGGTGACCTGTGTGAGCATCGACTCTAGAGAGGAGGGGGGCGGGGGGAGACAATGTTTAGAATTTAGACTGCAGTATCCATTTTAAACACTAGGTGTCAGTGTTACATATTGCTCCTTTAAATATTGTATTAATGCAATTCCTTAGAGTATGTGGATGTATCTCTAATGCCAATATTGCTTTTATATTGCTTTCTGTTGCTTAGTTGTATCAGTAAATCACAGGAGATAATCCTCTTTATTCACAAGTGATTCATAACTTGTTTTCACTGTAAATAAAAGTGGTGAATTATAAGAAAACTGCACATTATATATTATTTCATTTCTTGATATTTCTTGATATTTCTTGATTGTCTTCACTCAGCTTTACAGATGGGCTCTGCCTTCCAGACCAGCTTAATGTTTTTGGTAGTACAATATTTTACAGCCACACCTACAAAGTTTGTAGTTTGGGGTTGCTGATGGCCCTAGCGGTTAGGTCACCCCCCATGTACAGAGGCTGTAGTCCACCAAGTAGGTGGCCCAGGTTTATCCCCCACTCTCTCCTAATGTTCTACTCTATCCACTGTTCTATTTAAATCAAGGCTAAAGCCAAAAAATAAATCGGAAAAAAAGTGTTTACTTTGTATCTAGCATCCTTGCGACTGAGACATAATACTTTGTGATAATATTAGCTGTGGACATTTACTAACCATACCTCCATTGCAGTCAGTACTGCCGCTGTCTTTGCTGTCTGTGCTGTTCAGTGGATGTGACATCATGCACAGAGGACTGTTAGTTCACAGCAGCTAGAAGCACGTCGGTTCAATGTGGCAAAGTGTGACCAGGTGAAGTTGGACCCTCCTGATTTATTTGGCATGCATGGGTTGGGTCTTACTTAAACTATTTCTATCATATTGGAAGTGGAAGTATGGACACTGGTATGCAGCTGTCATCATTGTTTCACCAGACGGAGCGTGGGAGGAATGAGGTCACACAGGCAGGAAACAATACTTTACCCAGAGAGGTATGGGTTCATCTAGCTTTTCATTTGGGATAAAGCCATTAAGCGTTTTATCTAATATGATTAGAATATTCTGTTACAATGGCCGAAATACAACAACATCTTACAAACAGTATGAAGATATGATTTCAAAGATTAAAGCTGTTTACGCTCTGTCAATAAATCCCACTGAAACTCAGTAAACAGTGATGCATCTTTGACACTGTGTATAGGCACAGCAGCAGCAGCAGCACAGGAACAAAAATGTTGAAATCAGCATGCTAACATGTTCACTGTGACAAATGTATAATTTTACAATCATTAGCTTAGCATAGTATCATGCTTTATTTTCTTATCCTTAACCTTTTAAAGATGTATTAATAATATTAAATTTACGAGCTTTATTAAACTTCCATAAAAATCAGAATGGCCATTAACCTTCAAAAACAGCTTGTTTTGCTCTAAATCAAGTAGCAAGGTCCCATGCAGAAGTGTATACATGCAGTTCCTTGAGTGTCCACTAGAGGCTGGCTGCAGAAGCCCCGGAAGTCACATACACACCCATTCAAAGAGGCCAGTTTTTACAACAGAAATAAACCTGTTTACAGCCTGGTACAAAAAACAATTGGTCTGAATAGTTCATGTCTTTATCGGCACACTTTAGATATACAGGGGGTGAATTTCTTGATAAGTCATTTGTTTTGATTTCATGGACGATACAAGTTATTCACAATACGACGCGTAATCTTGTCTAAAATATACGCTATTGGATGAAACTACAACTTTAAACCTAATGATTCATACATACATTTTCTATATCAGACCTTCAATTTTTACAGCTGCACTGCTAACATTGCTAACAGGTACTTTTTGAATCTCCAAAACCTGATGTATCTTCTCCCTCTGAATAGAGCGCCCTTGTTTGTCTAATATCTATTAAAAACACATCAACGAGCCACTCTGTTGCACTGTCTGACCTGTAACTCAATTACCTCTGACACCTTCACTACAGTTTATTCTGACTCACCGTCCTGCTGCCCCAAATACTCACCAGAGCACCAAATGTGGATTAATCCACCGCTCAAAATAGTCCCCAACAAAGACACTAGGCTACCTCCTCCTCCTCCTCCTCCTGTGTGACGTTTGCTAAAAGCTTCGGTTCTTAGCTGTTCTGAGAATGATGCTTAATGTGTAACTCTTGTGTAAAGTTTGAGTCTTCACGTGGAACCAGTGTTCTTCCAGACGAAAGGTCAGAACGTACTCAGAAATTATGTAACAAGTGTTGGTATACGTTGTTTTTCCATCTTCCCACTCAGTGTTGTCATCATTAGAAGTAAGTTTAACACACTCAACATGCTTTTTCCAACAACACTCGTTACATATGTGACTTGAAACACAACTCTCTGACAATGAAAAAGCTAAAGTCTTGAGCACAACTGAACCTGCTATCTGAAAATGATACTGACACTGTGAGTCCAAACACTGTGCAGTTACACATATCAGATGATTGCGTCACATTCTAACGTTTCAGTTTCTGACCTTATGTTTTCATCTCCTTCTGTAGTTCTGGGAGCTTTACTTAACCGCAAATGCAAATAAATAACCTAATTGGCAGATCATCACTCGGCCATTTCCATGAGTAACAATCAACTGATAACGTAAAGTCTATCTGTGGTCAGAAAGCCGAGACTACAGACATTTTGCAGAAATAAGTTGGAGGAGAGAAGTATGTTCTGTTGGTGTTCAAAACAACATAAACACCAGACAAGATGACCTGATGCTCTTCAGCTAATGACTCCTTAAACACGACTCAGCAGATTGTTAAAACAGCTGCAACTGAGACCATCACAAGCTCCATGAAGTATCATTTCATTATGAACCAAAGTGTGCAGATGTTCCTGATGTTTGACTCAGAGTGTGTATGATACCTTATATAAAGGAACATGTCGTTCAAAGTGATCTGTGTTAAAATAAATTACTGACATAGTGGTTTAAATCGTGAACAAAACTCTTAAAATCGCTCCAAAATGACAAAGCTACATATCACAGGGGCGCCGTATAGCTTAATGGTTATGTCGCACGCCCAATGAACAGAGGCTGTAGTCCTTATCAAAGCGGTCATGGGTTCAATTCTGACCTCGGCCCTTTGCTGCATGTCATCCCAACTCTCTCTCCTCCCAACATTTCCCATCTCTCTTTAGCTGTTCGATCTATTAAAGGCAAAAATGCCACAAAAAATAAAGCTTCAATATCAGAATAGTGTATCCATTTTAAAGATTTAAAAATAATAATCCAAAATCTCATATAGTGGTTCTCAACTGGTGGGTCGGGACCCAAAACTGGTTCACGGAAGTGTCATCAGCGGGTCGCAAGCATGTGCCCTGAAAAAAGTCTGTCTTTTTTAAATGTGTTTCTGTTCAGTTTCTTGCTTTCGTCTGAGGTACACAACCTTTGACAGAAGCTGCAAACTGCACCATTTTGAATTAAATAAAATCTGATCGGTTGAAAAATATCAGAAATTTAGGTCGCTATTTTTCATAGAGGAGCTGGTGGAGGGTCAGAGGCTTGACAAGTTGAGAACCACTGCTCTAATATGTTGATTAAAATATAACACTGAAAATGTTCGATCTATATAACACAAGTACTTTTGATAGATTTATATACTCAAACTAATTAAAGGAGCTGAGTGCTAACCTATGATATCCTATTATTCATATATTAGTTAAAATATTTTTAATATGGGTGATATCAGGCGATCACAATCTATACTAAAACATCTCCAATTACAAAATCCCGAAATGATGGAAGAAAACATGTCTGGTTATAACGATGAAGACATGTTCCTTTAAAGATACAATATGTAGATTCCACCACCAGGGGGCTCTCGATCAATACTACAATGACAAAAGATGACGTCGAGGCTAACAGGGAATCATGGGAGTTCTTTCTGCGACTTTACTCCGCGAGTAAAGACGAGCGGTTGAAACCGACCTGAGAAAGAGAATATGTTTACAGACGATGTATCCAAGTATAATTGTCGTGCCGTTTTTATCACAGCAGCACATACAGCAACAGTAGCAGCTCACGCTTCCTTATGCAGCCGCTTTTGAGGTAACATCTGGTGTTTCCACGGCAACGATAAACGTTTCATTTCAATCATGACGACTCATCATGGCGGGCGCCTCGGCAAGACTTGTCCCGTTACAACTATAAAATTACAGATTTCTCTGGCTTTGATAACTGTCGGAAATATATGAGGTAATGAAAGAACTCAACAACAAATTAAAGGCTATATAACATCGGTTTAATAAATGTTCAATTAATTAAGTTGAATGTAAACTTTGTCATAAAATTCTACATATTGTGCCTTTAAATGTTTGAGTAGGCTTTCTGATAAGGCTTAACTTATGGTCTAAAAGAACGAGATATATTTCTCTTGTACATGTATTTAACATCACAGACATATTTCTGAGGGAGTAATTTAACAATGTTTTAATGCCACGACTAAATGTCTCAAAAAGAAAAATGTCTGAATGCTTCAGCAGTATTTTAAAGAAGTAATACCCTGTACCAGTACTGATAAAAAATAAATAAAAAACACTCAAGAGTTCATAAATAACCATAATAATCATCCAATAAAATCAAATACACTCCACTCTCCCGAACGTGTTAAAAGTGACTCTTCAAACTTTTACCACCTGCTGCTCCTCAGCTCTCACCTGATAGGCCACCATGTTGAGGAAGTAGTTGTACACGCCGCTGCCGTTCATCCCCTGATGAGTGGCTGACATCGCGCCGTTACACTGCTTTTCATCGGCCGCTCTCACTCTACATTTGGCCATGAACATCCAGCTCTCGCAGGTTGTATTCAGCGAGCCGTCAAAGATGGCATCCTCACATCATCAGAGAGGCCAGAACACAAAGTCTTCAACAGGCCAGGCGGAAAAATGAAAAGAAAAAGTAAAGCTCCAGAGTCCAGCAGCTTGTCCCCGCACGCTCCTTCTCCTGGATTAACAGTAAATCTAGTCCTGCTGGGATCCCCTGCTGCAGCCGAGAGCCTCAGCATGAGCGCCGCTTCAGCTGCTCCTCTTCCAGCCTCACAGGGGGAGAACTTGTTTTTCTGCCCACATCCTGCGTGCTTTGGCTCTGAGGGCTGAGGTGGGTGCTGCCAGAAAAGAGGGAGAGATGGAGGCGAATGCCCGGTGCCTTCACCCACAGTCTCCCCCCCCCCCAGCGCTCAGATTAGGCAGAGAGGAGGGGGTGAGGAGGAGGAGGAGGAGGAGAGGAGGAGGATGACAGGGACCATGTGTCCGTCCCATCTGTCCCTCCCTTCCCCTCCCCCAGCGGCCGCCGCACAAATGCAACAGTTGAATGGGATTGGAAAATACTGGAGTTAAATCCAGTTTTACATAATTAAACAATTACCTCATGAGACTTTGAGATGCTTGACATCTCACTACAGACCCCAACCTACAGACCCCCACCAACCCAGACCAAGACCCCGTCCAAGCCTGAGAGTGTGTGTCAGTCACAGAAAGAGGCCACGTTTATAATCCTGACAAAGTTATCAGGACCGCAGAACGACCTGGAAAGCCTGAAGTGGGGCGGACTGAGAGGGTGCATTAGTAGGATTGCTCACAGATTAACAATAAAACAGACTGATGGTTTATTTGTGAATCTCATGGAAGTTCACAAAGGTATTAAATGTACCATTATAGCTTTAAAAAGTCACTCTTAGTTCACTATTACAATACAACATCACCTCATAGTAATCAGAATCCCACCTTTTGGAATAAATTATGTGAAAACAATCAGAGAGAAATGACTGCAATTGGTTTCATGCTGCTCTGGAATGAGGCTACTTTCCCACAGCCTCACTTGAGTTAGGTCGATTATATACGTGTTTCTCTTTCTTAATGTCCTTCAAAATCATTAATCTGATATTTGATCCGACCTAACAAACATCATAAGTTTAATTTTGTACATTTTGACAGCATGTCTTGCCGTACTGTACATTCAATCTGAAGACTTTGTTGCAGGACTTGGAGAAATATTGAGTTTTTTTAAAGGGGACATATTATAAAAATCCACTTTCACAGTGTTTTTGAACATATATTTCACAAAATGTGAAATAAACCCATCCAGTCCTTTGTTTGTGGTCTGTAAAAGTCTTACAACACAGAGAAAAATGCTCCGTTTCAAATTTGCTCTCCTTGTGATGTCACAGTGGGATTCTGGTAAAAAAGAATCCCCTCCCCTCCCCTGGTATCTCCACCCATGGACTCCACCCCCAGCCTAGAACAAAACTTTGCGCAGCTCTGCCATTTTTATTCTCGCTAGCGAAGGAGAGATGTCTACCAGGAAAACTCAAGGGGCTCATTGGATTTAAAGAGACACACACACCAAAACGGAGCGTTCTGAGAGAGCTGGTTTATACAGGGTCACAAACCTCCTCTGGTGCTTGATTCATGTTATATTTTGACCAAAGCACAGCACAGATGTTTCATTTAGACCACAGAGGGACTGTTTGAAAAGGTAGGAACAGGGGATAATGTGTCCTCTTTAAGATATATCAATATATTTTCAAACAAGATATAGGGAGAGACAATACCGTTTATATCGCATTAAAATATCATTATACGTGTCTTAGTAGAGCTGCCAGTTCACCTATTCTAGTTTATTTTTGTCATTTTTCATGTCCATGTTGACATGGTCCTTATCGCCCAGCCCTACCTTTTTTATTTATCTTTCATCCTTCTTTTGAGCATCTTCTGTGCTAAATAAATTAACATTTTTAAAAACTCTTACAAACATGTTTGTTTTGCCTTCATGTCAAATTTGAGAACTCTGTTCAAAGCAGATCATAATGAAGTCTTAAGGTTCAATAACTGACCACATTTTAAAATTTTCTCCTGTTTGATTATCTTCTTATTCAGTGAATCTTTAGTTGATGCTGAATGCACGACTTAATGCAGAGTTATAAATCATATTCCTTTGATATGTGCTTGTTAGACACTAAATTACTTCATTTTTTTCTTCAGACAAGGACCTGATAGTTGGTCAGAGTCCACATGTGAAAGCTGTTTGTTGCTGGATATGCTGACAGTAGAAACACTCATGCTGCGTCCTGTTTGATCTCAGCAGTAGCGAAATGAAACGCCGTGTCTGGTGGCCGTAATAAGCGCTGAGTGCAGAGGAGAGAGTCGGAGCAGATTTGGGTTAGTGTGCAGTGCGGAGCGCCGGATAATCCCGTGGTTGTTCAGCCGTCCTCTCAGTCAGGATGACCTTCATCAGCTCAGACGAGTCATCAGCTACGTCCTTTAACTCTCTCTGGGTCAACAACAATACAGACCATCCTCACTGAGACGGAGACCGACCAATCAGACTGCAGCTCACCTGTTAACACACTTTATAACTCACACTGTTTCTGCAGATCAAAGCAGCCTCTGTCCTCTGAATCACAGCCGCTCTCTCTGGCTGACCTGTTGGATTTCAATCACTCTCTTCCAGAGGTAGAATGTAAATAAGTAACATTTGAGGTGCTTTCACTTTACCAGAGACGTTCTACTTTTACCTCACATTCATAGAGAAACACGTCACTCCGCTGTTCATCTCTCTCCACGGGCTCCCAGTTACTGCTCACATCAAATTAAAACTCTGCTGCTTGCTTACAAAACAGTCACAACTAGGACTCCTCCTTACCTAAACGCTCTCATCCAGGTTTACACTCTCTCCTGTCCACTACGCTCTGCCAGTGAAAGGCGTCTGATCCAACTGTCACAACAGAGCCTTAAGGCCACACTCACACTAGGCAATCCGTACCGTGCCCAAGCACACTTCACCCCTAAAGTCCAGTTTGTTTGACTAGTGTGAGTGCTTTGATCCGTGCTCAAGCTCGGAAAACTTCCTGGGCCCTGGCACGCTTCAAAGAGGTGTGCTTCAGCTTGGTACAGTTCATGCACGAGCACAAGCACGGGTACAAAACGTGGACAGCCTTCATTCAGTCCCTCGAGGAAGATGCGATGTTGCGATCGCAACAATTAACGCAAATTTAACCAATCCCCGTGAATTCTGGGCGACCTTGCAATTTTGTCCAATCACCGCTGGAAAATCCTGGAGAGTTCTGGCTGAATCTAAGGACTCAAGATAGATACAAAGTCAGTAAAGTAGCTGTCATGTTCTCTGATGTGCGGACACGGACCTGACAGCCTGTCTCGTAAACTAAACTTACTCTTATGATAAAGTAATTAGTTAAGCCATGCATGTTTTGAATTATCACATTATGTACAAGAGGTAACCGTGCTCAGGCCCGGTTAGTTCTGGAGCAGTGTGAGTGCAGGCCCACAGGAGAATGGGGAGGGGGGGCAATCATGCTTAAGCAAAGTACGGGACCACTTTGCCGAGTGTGAGTGCGAGTTAGTCTCTATCTAGACTCTTCTCCTCTTTCGCCCACGGGTGGTGGAAGAAACTAACCAACTCCATTCGATCTGCAGAGTCCCTTTGCATCTTTAAGAAAAAGCTAAAGACCCAGCTCTTCATGAACACCTACGACCTTAATGAAGATGTTTTGATGCTGATTAGAACTCTCCAGAACAGCTGTCGATGTCCTGCTTGTCTGGTCACTTCCTGTCAGCACCTGTGTGTCCGATCGGACTTAAAGCTGATCGTTTGCACTTACTGACATTGTTTCCTCTTTTCTAGATCCTTGCTTGTGTTGTTCTTACTCTCTGAAATACGTCTCTTTGGATAAGAGCGTCTGCTAAGTGAATTGTAGCAAAGGATAATTTGTTCCGCAGTTTGCACTTAATGGTGTTTAATTATGGTGCGTTCTTATTCATAACTCCTTGAGTTTGTTTTGTATGCAGGTGTCAAAGGCGACATCTACTGAATCAAAAAGTCACACATTCTTCCTTTAAAGCCATCACTTATCATTAAGCTAACGGCTGCAAGTAGTTACCATTCTTCATGTTTGTCGTCAGCCTTACAGATTAGCAGATTGAGTTATTCTTAGGAACCGTCTGTCTTTAAAGAAAAACAGAAGTCAAAACAAACTCCAGACTGTCCAGCAGGTTCACTTTCAGGGAACTGAGTACCAAACAGCTGGTTATCTCTCAGCTAAGAGGCTTGGACTTACAAACACAGTGAATGAAGAGTCTCTGAACCGTGCGGTAAAGCAACAGTTGTAAGATCACAACGAGCAAACCTAATGAGTCTCTGTGATACAGACGTGTGCTATTTACAACTTCTTCAAAAAAAATAGGAAGAAGAAGAATAAAAACAAGACAAATAATGGAATCTGAATGATGCATTTAGAGATTTGGAGAAACTCCTGTGTGATACATTTAAGGATCAAGAGCGTCACCGCAAGCTTAATAAACGACTATTCTGGTCAGATCCCATCCTTAATCTCACGGTTGTTTATTCCAACATGAGCGGCTGTAAACCAGTACGTCCCAGTGACAAACACGTGTTGCTGTGAGCGGTCCAGGCAGGGGCATTCCTGGGGGCCCCTTTTCTCTCTCTCGGATAATTACTGGCTGCCTTGTGGGAGAGGAGGAAGTGCCAAAGAGGACAAACAAAAGCCAATAAGCGGATGCAAATCGCCGCTTGAGTGAAAGCGCTCAATCTATGGTTTCAGGGGGGATGGCGCAAAAACAAGTTGGCTGAAGTCCAAACTGGTTTACAAAAAAAAAAAAACAGGAAAAGAAAAATTACCCATTCATAATCATTTCAGGACTCTTTCTAAAGGTTACAAATGAGTAATGGTTAAAGGCAGTGTTGTTGTTTTTTAACCTGAATAAGATGTAAGTAAATGAAAGGCTGGATGTAACATGTCGATGTGTGGCTGCCAGCAGAAAGAGTCGTCGTCGGTCCTATAGCAACACAAAGCATCCATTCATAACAGACGCATGACTGAGCGCACAGCCGGCTCATGTTCTGGAAAATTAAAACCCCAAATTAAAAAAAGTTTGGTTGGGATGTTCATTGAACACCCGTATGGAATTAAGAATAGCACATAGACAACACATCAAATGTTGAATCTGAGGCTTTTTTCCTTTATTTGGATAGGACAGTGGAAAGAGAAGAAACCAGGAAGAAAGCGAGAAAGACATGCGGGAAAGGAGCCACAGGTCGGACTCCAACCCTAGGTCCACCCGCTTGGAGGACTAAAGCCTCTGCACATCAGGCGCTACCTAACCGCTAGGCCTTTAGTGCATAGCGTGCCCCAAATGTCATGTTTTTTAAAAAGTGATATTCCAATTTAGAATTTGATGCGTGTTTTAAAACAATTGGGACGGTGGAAACAAACGACGGGAAAAGTAGTGAAATACTTCCAGAGCATCCCAGAGAGGCTGAGTCTATCTGAAGTAAAGATGGTGAGGGGTTCCCCACTCTGTGAAAGACTGTGCTGGATATAGTGCAACACTGTCAGAAAGATGTTTCTCAACGTACAATGACAAAGAGTCTTGGGATTTCATCTTCCACAGTTCATGTATTAGTCCATAATATCATTAAGAGACTTAAAGAATCTGCAGTAATCTCTGTACACGGGACAAAGACCAAATACAATCTTAGGGAGCTGTGATTTCTGGGTCGTCAGGCAGCTCTTCAATAAAATCAGACGTGATTCTGTAGTGGTCATCACTGCATGGGCGAAGAGACTCTTCCAGAAGCCACTGTCTGTGAACACAGTTCATCGCTGCATTCACAAATACAGGCTGAATCTCCACCATGCAAAGAGGAAGCCGTGTATAAACCAGAAACAGAAACGTCACCACCTTCTCTGGGCACGGCTCAATGGACTGAGACGAAGTGTAAATCTGTCCAGGTCTGACTAATTATATTTTGACTTCCTGTTTGGAAATCCTGGACGTCGTGTCCTCCAGGCTTCAGAGGAGAGGGACCACCGGGCTTGTTATCAATGCTCAGTTCAAAAGCCAGCATCCCTGGTGGCATGGGGGTTCATTAGTGCACATGGGTGACCTGCACATTTGTAAAGGAATCATTAATGCTGAACCATATACACAGCTTTTGGAGCAACATATGCTGCCAAATAGACGACATCTTTTTCAGAGAAGGCCTTACATATTTCAGCAAGACAATGCTAAACCACATTCTGCACGGGTGATAAACTGGCCTTCCTGCTGTCCAAACTTGAAACCGTTAAAAATGTTTGGAGCATTATAAAGATAGATGTCTAAGAGATACTGAACTGTTGAACAGACTTTTATATTCTAAACATTAAGCAAAAATGGTGAAACATTCCACTTTCAAGATTACAAAAATTGGTCTCCTCAGCTCCAAAATGATGACAGTGTTGTCAAAAGAAAAAAGTGAGGCAACAGATTAAATCGAAGCTTGATCCAAAGGCAACGGGACCGGTTGAAGCGCTGTCCACCAGTTGTCTTAGAACTGAAGGAACCCATATCTTTGGAAGATCCATCCTGGTCATGGTAAATCGAAGCTTGAGCCAAAGACAACTGGACTTAGTTGAAGATCGAGCTAACAACTCTCATGTGAGTCATCCTCGATCATCCACAGAGGCTTACATTTCCAGCTCAGTCCATCACTTAGTTTAGAGCTGAAGAAGCCTTTCGGAGGAGCGGTGAAAGATCTTCAAGATCTTCAACCAGTCCAGTTGCCTTTGGATCAAGCTTGAATTTACCATGACCTAGATGATTGAGAAACACAGATTAGTAAACGTGTCCCTGTGTTGCTGGCATCAAATTCAAATTGGGATATCATTGTCCAAAAAGGAAAGACATTTCTCTGTTTCCAAAATGTATATGTTGTCTTTGTGTTATTTCAAATGTAATATGTGGTTTCAATGTTTTGCAAATCGTGTCAGCCTGCTTTTATTACATTTCGCACAATGTCCCAACTGTTTTTGAGTTTGGGGTTGTGAAAGTTAACCCTCATAACACTCAAGTGTAAAAGTTTGTGTGATGCCTTTTTCCCTCTCATAGAGGCGGCATCTCTACTGCTCCTACTGCCCCTCATCATCTTACATCCACTTTAAATGCAGGGTTGGTAATTTTCTCCAGATAGACTTTTTAAGATTCAGTTTGAAATTGTCTTTAGGTTCTGACAGAAATTAATAACTCATGTGATCTGAAAAAGGAACAAAGAAAAACCGTCATCTGTAGCAGTTGTAAGCCTGTAAAAACTTCGACCAATGTCTGCCACGAGGTACCAATCTGATGAACCAATCACACGCCTCCCTGTCTCCCTGCTCACTCTCTACCTCTTGCATGCACGAGCCCAAACTCAAAACGTAAGTGAGGGGGCGTGGCTTTTGAGAGAGCACAGAGGGGAGGGGGGTGGGTGCAGACGGAGCACTGAGGGAATGCTACATTCAACATCATGCTAGTTTTAGAAAATTACCAACCCTGCCTTCAAATCAGCAGTGCATCCTGCAGAGTCTCACCTGAGCCCGACACAAGCGTCCTGACATCACGTCTGTGAGGCGGTTACAGTCAGTCAGCCGTCAGTCATACAGCAGGATGAAGGGGTTGACGTGACGACAGCAACATCCCTCCAGCCCAGGTGCCATTCCTGGATGGGATGATCAGTGCTCTCTGATCATCATGGTGACTGGTGTGGTTCTGTCAGCACTGACGACACCAGCCCAGGGTTTCTCTTTCAGTTAATCTGATTATTGGGGGGGGGGGGGGCAGCTAAAGGGCACGAAAGGGATCGAAACGTCTAGAGACACAGGAAATCTGCTGCGATGGTTGTAGGGCTATTTGTATTTAAAAGTAAACCTCTTAAAACAAACAAGAATAGACCAAGGAGGACCTCAAAGTCCATATAATCCAGTTATTGTCCTTTTCTCTCCTTAACAACACTGTTAACAAAGACGATAAATCAGACGTTTGTTTGTTGTTTTAAATCTGATTTTTGATCAAATCGGAAGTGAAGGCAGCGTCTTGATGTCAGAAAATAAGTTTTACATGGATTTGAATTCACAAAATGTTCCTTAAATGGACTTTCTAGTATTTGGAGGATTTTACTTTAAACTATTTTTATAAGGTTGCAGACAAACACGGAAGGCTACATGTAGGGGAACATGCATTATTCATGATTAGCTACAGTTAGCAGCAAACCCTTTTTTCTAACTATGCTACACTGTATTTTTTTTAAGTGTCTTGTCTTCGATATGCATCAAAATCAACACTCAGAATATTACAATGGTTTATCTCTTGTTGTAGTCAGAGAGGCACAAGGCTGTGTGGATTAACAGGTCAAGTACACAACTGCACGAGGGCCCTGGGTTCACTGTGTGGTAATTGGTTTGTGGTAATTCAATTATTGGCCAGTTTGTTTGGGAGTTTGCAGCACTTATAGTACAACTGAGGAGCGTGCTGAACATCAAATCTTGTGGCACCAGTTTCTTGCAGGAACCCTGTGTCATCTATTACTCTACTTTAAACACTTTTTAAAATCTAATTTCATGTCGGGTTCTCGTGTTACGACTCAACACAAAGGCCCAGTCTCAATGTTCACCCTCACACTCTAGAGCGTTCGAGCTAAATCTGTGAGGGCTCAGGGTTCAGGGACGACATCGAGATTCATCCAAAAAGAATTAACAGAGGATTTATGGTTATTCCAACTTGATGTCATGATACCAGCATTTTAAACTTGGATACGATTCTGGTGAAAATCAAACAATGGAAACATGTTTTTATATCAGGAAAAACAAAAGGAAATCCTATTCACTTCATGTTTTAATTTTTTGTTCTCAGTTCTCAAAAGCTGCAGGCTAACTTCTGAAACGTTGCAGATGTTTTTGTGCTATTTAGACAGCCTGTGGGTGTTTGCCTGCAATTTTTAAAGGAATCATTCCTCTGCAACGCCCCTGTTTTGTGAATTAGATGTTTTTATGTTTAGGTACTTTTCAACACTTACGGTCATTATAATAACAGATTATATTGTTAAAAAACGTGGTATTAAAAAAGGATCAAAGGCCCACCTGGGGAACTGAGTTATGCAGGTGTGGCATGACGCTTGTGGGCAATGTTGATGTTGACATATGATGTTAAGCATGTTGTTTCTCATGACCCTGTCGGTCTGGTGTTGTGTGGACTGTTTATGTGTCACATAATAATAATATTAATGTTAAAATAAGGTTAATTTCCCTAATATACGTATATGTATATATATATACACACACACACACATATATATATATATATATATATGCTATGTATCAAGGTTGAAACAGTTTCTAAACAGTATCGCCCTCTAAGTAATGAACAAATTATTTCATAATAAATCCGGAAAATTATCTGATGATCATTTCAAATTAATAAATCTAATCTGATAGATTTGTTATTTTTTTAATTTAAAATATTTAATATATTTTTAAGAAAATCAACACAGTATTTCTACACAGTGATCATAATAATAATTTATATAAATATACAGACTTATTAAAATTAAATTGTTTGATATTTTCGCTGTAGTTAAAATTTCGGAACTCTTATTTCATCACATCTAGTCTTTTCCGGTCCTACTCTGTTTCTCCTCCGTCCGACGTTTGACGGAACGGAACCTTCTTTTTGGTTCCGGCCTCACTGGAGCAAACATGGCGGCTGAGGGAGACGTCGATTTGGACCTGGAAGCCGAGGAAAACTGCACCGGGAAACCGGCAGAAAAGCCTCGTAAACATGACAGCGGGGCCGCTGACCTGGAGAGGGTCACGGACTACGCGGAGGAGAAAGAAATCTCCAGCTCTGATTTAGAAACGGTGAGATCTCCGGGCTAACGTTAGCGGGGGGAACATGCGGCCGCGGCATCAGCGCTGTAACGTCAGGGAGACATTTCTCAACACAACACCTGTTAAAAAAAACTAAAGTGTGTAGTTTTCAACATGTGACCCTTTAGTAACTCTTCATTCAGACTTACAATCACATTAAATATTATAAATGGCGCTTTACGTGTTTTATTAAACAATTTAAGGATTAGCTAATGTTTGTTAGCTACCGAGCTAAAGCTGCCTTTTAGATTTTTTTTAACAAGACAACAAAAGTTTTCCACCATAATAATAATAACAGAGAAAATTGCAAATACAAATTAAAAAAAAATAATAATAAAATAAACTTTTTAGGGCTGCACGGTATTAAAAATAAAATAAAAGTGCTGTTTGTTTTCCTTAAAATACAGAGAATCAAACCAGATAAAGTTTCATGTCTGCTGTTGTCATGGTTACAATGCATCACTTAAAGGTGCACTGTGCAGTTCTGGTAGAGAGACATTTAAAAGTTGGATCAGTGTACAGATTCTGTGTTCATATCTGTAAACACAAACTCTCCTCAGAGGAACATTTGGTCCCTGTGTCTCTGTTTGCAAATAAACGCTTCAGGAGAAAGTTATGAAGTTATGATGGGGTCAACAGTGATACCGTCACTCTCCTGGTAGATTTTTTTTTTTTTTTAGCTTCAAAAATGTTCCAGGTACCTTTTTTATTGAGTAAAGTTTGTGGATTTAGTTCAGAAAATATAGCAGGGAATTGTTTCACTTCTCCAACTTTCAAATTTCACGACCAAATCTACAAAGTGCACCTTTAAAAAAACAAACAATATATAATATATTCTAATATTGTTGAACATTTCAATAACATTTAGTGCAGTAAATAAATACATATTAAAGACTGAGTGTTATCTATGATTCATAGTATCTGTGCCTTTCTGCTGCATAACATTTTACTGCTAAATCCAAAAAGTGTTTTCTTTACCTCTCTCTTAAACATTAGTATTCCTAATTTAAGATGTCAGAAAGAAAATGTTCCTTTCTCATTATTTTAAAAAGAGTCTCTTGTTGCATCCGCTAATATGTTTATTTTAAATCCACTTGAGGACTTCCTCTGTGTTTTACAATGTTACAATTCACTTAAACGCTTTTATCCAAAGCGACGTACATCAGAGAGTAAGAACTAATCCATTCATACACCGCCACAGAAGCAGCGGGAGCAATGCGGGGTTAAGTGTCTTGCCCAAGGACACATCGGACATGTTGCTCAGCTGGGGATCGAACCATTGACCTTTCAGTTGAGTGGCGACGACACTACCAACTGAGCCACAGCCGCCCACAATATTGCATTGATATTGCAGCTGTGTTTTCTTCATATTTGAATCTGTGTTATTAAAATCTGTTTCCCCCTCAGGCGATGTCAGTGATTGGAGACAGAAGATCACGAGAACAGAAAGCCAAACAAGAGAGGTGAGGTCACTGCTTTTACACTCTCATCCTGTGCAGGTTAGGGTTAAAGAAGCTTCAGCTGTTTACTACTTAGATTTTCATGGTAAATCAAAGGGATTTTTTTGTAAAGACTGGTATGAGGTACAGTCTGTGTTTTAGCCTCAGGTGATGCTGGTCAGCTCGGCCCCTTTATTGAGAAACCATGTGGAGCATTGGCACAGAACAGAAACTGGGCTTTACATCAGTACAGATCGACCCATTTGGACCACATCATTTGTTTAGAGCAATTTAATAGGTTTTTTTTGCACTTTTCCCTGTTATCAAGCCCTCGACGGGATCAGGATGATCTTGATTTTTTTTTTGGATCAAAGTGATCCTTATTGATCAGGGTCTGCATGTTGTTCCTTGCAGTAGACTTAAAACTGAAGGAGGCAGCTTTTCATGAACTGAGAACTCTGTGGACATTTTTTTTGAAACACTTTGTAACACCTGCTCTTGATAGGTGCTTTATAAATAAACTTGAATTACTTATTAATCCTACTAAAGAAGTTTTGAACACAAACTGAAAGTGTTATCCACATTAAAATTAGGATTTGATACCATAATCCTTATTTTCTTTTGAACGATCTGATTTCTTGATCCTGTCCTGTCCGATACCTTTAATGGTGTTGGATCACTTTTGAACAGCCGGCTGTGATCTTATGTTTGTGTGCAGAAGACAGAGAATCTGCTCCTGTGCTAACTGTGTGTCATTTTGCTTTCAGAGAAAAAGAATTGGCTAAAGTCACCATCAAGAAAGAGGATGTAGAGCTCATTGTAAGTTCTTTTCTTTTTATTTAACTATTGAGGTGATGTGGGATTGGTGCATCTTTAGAAACATAATGACCAGAAGTATTTTGGAACTTTTTTAAAATCAGTTTCTCCACTTAGAAACATTTTGTGAAGCTTCAAGTTAATATTCTGATGTAATACTGTTCTTTTGTGATTTGGCTAAATATAAACACACAACACCTCTGATAATGTGACATGCTCTTTCCGTGCAGATGTCAGAGATGGAGATTTCGAGGGCTGTTGCTGAGCGCAGTTTGCGGGAACACATGGGGAATGTGGTGGAGGCTCTGGTGGCTCTCACCAACTGAACAAAAAGCAGCGACACACTGGACTGCTTTGCTTTGTCGTCTGTGAACAGGGCTCATTAGGACTGAACCAAACCCCAAAGTGAAACTGTTGTGATCTAATCTTTGCCCCAGTTTTTTTTTTCTTTTTTAAAATAAATGTTGAACTGACTCGTTCTCTGCCTACCACTTGATTTATATTTGTTTATGTCTTTGTTCAAAGGATGAAAAAATCAATGAAAATACAAGTTTTATTCACAAAAATGAAGTTATAACACCACACTGGGCTTCGACAAATATTGAGGGGATAATCAGTAAAGGAATCTGCAGACTAAATGTTATCATTTGACGGCAGCTCAATGCTTTAAGGGACATTTAAGCTTCATATTTACAGCCATTATCCCACATTGAAGTCATGTTGTGAACACTGAATTTAAAACCAGCTGCATCGGGGATGTTCTGGTTCTTATCAAAAGCAGGAAACATAAAATTAAGTTTCTTTAAACACCTTCCAGGGAGATAAAAAGTTCATCAAAGCAGTGGAATCAGTCTTTGATATTAAGTCGCGACGGGATGCAGCTCGTTCTCTGTACAGTCTCTGAAGCTGCACTGTGGTTCAGATGAAGTCCTATTCACATCTTAAGTCTTCCTCTTCTTCACCGTGGGCCGGTCGAACACATCCCTCACGCCTGCCGCCTTCTGCTTGAAGAACTTGCTGTTCTGAGCGCTCTCCTGCGCCCAGGCCGAGTCGAACGACGTGGTGTCCTGATCCACCAGGTGGGTGTACTTAGTGCGTCCGGAACGACCAAAGTTTTTGACCTGAGAGAGGAAAACAAACCTCAACAGGTTAACGGAGCAATAACACTGATACCCAGTGTTGAAAATAAGAACAAATTCAAAACATTAAAGAGAACTTGAGAAAGGGAAGCTGACCTGCATGACTTTGGGTAAGATGGTTTTGTTGAAGTGATCCTCCAGAGTGGGAGCGCTGAAATCCCTCTTGTACACATCATCCTCCTCATCCTGAAACACAAATCATGAATACAGTTTAAACACTGAGCAACCTTCAGCTCCAATGTCTGTGACACTACAAGTCAAACATGGTTTATAAAGCCGCTCTGTTAGCTGTGTTCTCACATCAGCACACTCAAACTTTCTGCGGAAAAAATACCAGGCGTCTGGCAGGAGAAACTCCCGGTGAAGTCCGAGTGAAAAATGTGCCTGTTCACGTCCACACATACAGCTCCTCAGGAGTTTTTTCAGGACATTTTGCAAGTTTGAAAGCCCTACAACTTACAACCATTCAAAAGGCTCTTTATGGTACTAGAAACTTAATTTTTCAATATCGCTCTATCACTCCAAACGAGCTGTATCCAGACAAAGATGTAGGGTAAGCTAAGATGAACCTTTCATTTAAAATGATGACAAAATAAGTAAGATGAGACAGAAAAGGTTAAATATCTAAATACCAATCGAACCGCGTCTCGAGCAAAGCCCCAGCAGTTTTTCTCTCACCATGAAGAAGGCTCCTCTGTGGTAGTACTTCTGCAGGAACTTGTATTTCCCTTTGGATGCTTTGTTGGTGACCACTTTGCCGCTGTTTCGGAGCTCGGCCCTGCGCTCCTCCTCCGTCAAGTTGTGGAATCTCTCGATCTCAGCCTTCTCCTTCTCCATGCTGAGGAACAAACACTCGTTACCATCCCTCATGGAATAACACAGCACTGTGCTCACATCAAGGTACTGAACATGGATATCTGTGTTGGACTTACACTTCCCGGGCCTCTCTGTCCCTCTTGATGCGTTTCAGCTCTCGGACTTTCCACGCTTCGTATTCCTCCTCCTCGTTCTCCCCGTCAGTGTCCAGTCCGTCCAGAGCGGCCAGGGTACGCCGGTTCTCCTCAAACTCCTTCTTGGCCTCCTCCTCCACAATCTTGAGGGTGTAGCGCCGTCGCTCCTCCACCTGCTTCTTGGCCTCGACCTCCAGCTCTCGCTGTTTCAGCTCCTCTGCTTCGCGCTCCGCCACTGTCACTCTGTCCTTTCTGTGGCGCAAATACAAAAGAAAGGCACAGAAATGAGCAAACTGCATTCAGACTGTTGGTCCCACATCAGGTGATCAAAGAAACGTTTATCAGATTTTAGTATTAGGAAACTTTTTCACTCGTTTTCACTCATACTTGCGAATGAAGACCGGTTTGAGTCGTGGTTCTGCTTCATCCTCGCTGTCTGTGTACTCCTCATATTCAGATTCCGACTCTGACTCCGCCCCCGACTTTCCTTCCTCCTCCACCTCCATCACCTCCATCTCCTCGTTCTTCCGGTCGACGGCTCGCTGACGCATCATCTGTCGTCTGCGCTCAATTTCCTGCACGGAACAACAAAGTTCACGCTCAAAACTGTCCTCAGTGTAACTGGCAGAACTCTTCAAAGGGGCGGGGGACAAGCACAGATACCGACCTCGTCATCCACTTCTTCCTCTTCCTCCTCCTCTTCCTCACTGCTCTCCTCTTGCTCTGGGTGCCACGTGCCTTCATCGGAGTCTTCACTGCTCTCCGCTACAACTTCAGGCTCTGCGATCTGTCGGTGCCTCGCAAGCCTTGAGGACGGAGAAAGACAAGTCAGCATTCACATGTCGCAATGGAGAAAGTTTTTCAATCACAACAAAAGCTGTCTCAACTAGGATCAAATCTTCCGAACGGTGTCATACCTCTCCTCCACGTCCTCAGAGACGCGGTTGAGCAAACGTCTGAGACGCGGGTCGGAGACGTCCTCTTCCTCCACCTCCACCTCGGCCTCCAGCTCCTTCCCCTTCTTCACAAACTGGAAGTCCTCCTCCTCCTCATCGGACGACTCCATGGGCGCGTAGTCAGGACGTTTACCCGACACATACCTCTTCACCTTCACCTTCTCCATGGAGAGCTCGCCTGAGGTGGGCAGAGACGAGAATGAGCTGCAGGTTTACGTGCTTTAGACGATGTTTGTCCCCCGATTCAATTATCGTACGGGAAGTAACAGTTTTGCAAAACTCTTTTCAAGTTTCTGATGTTACGTTTTGTTGACACCACAAGCCATTATTATCCAGCTTGGCTTCTGCTTTTGTGGATGCAGCTCTTCAAAGCTGATACTTACAATTGAAAGGGCTGAAGTGTTTGTAAGACTAAGTGATAATTGAGCATAACGATAAAATTATTAATCTGGGACAAAATGGTAATCTGTGTATTTTTTATTAGTTATTATAAGTGCCTCAGGGGGAAATGGATATTTCTCTATTATCTCTTAAAGTTTATTGTAAGACCTTTGCCTCCTCCTCAGTCTAAACTTTCCATCAGTACGGGCTCTTCATCTGTCACAGTTTTAACTTTATTGTATATCTGATGCATTATTTAGCTCTACTGTTTATAAACACTTCAATATTCTGTATACTGACGGGTTCAGTATTTCTGTTCTACAGGTTTACGCTGACAGTATTTCGTTGTACTTGTGGAGTGAATAAATCTTATTTCATCAACAGCTCACCTCATGATAACATCTGTCTCTCCTTACTGTAATCTGTTCTGCACATGTTTAAATTTACACATTATCCCTGCACTCATGTTCACTTCATGTGTCTGTCTACTCGCCGTTATATTGTATAGTTTCTGCTTATTATATGTCTACACTCACTTTAACTTATGTCAATACTGTCCATTTACTACTCTGTTTTAGCACATTTACATTTAATCTTCCTATTTAAGACTAGTAATGCTAAGTTAAATCCTGGTTGTATATATTCACATTCTTAGTTTTGATATTTTTAGTGCTTATTTACTTTGTATTTAATATTATATTGTGCTTAGATTTGCTAACATTGTGTTTTTTACTCATATTGTGTGTTTTATAACCTGCTGCTGTAACGCCACAATTTCCCAGTTTGGGATCAATAAAGTAATTATTTTATATTCTATTCTATTAATCTATAACATCCATATCACACAGAGAACATTAATATGCTGCTGCAACCTGCAATATTATTCTCCCACATGTTTTTAATCAAGCCAACACAGAACATGTTGTTGTGTGTTCAGTGATGTTAGGCTAGGAGAGCTAGCTTAGCACGTTGCTAACTGATCGGGCTCACCTTTGTCGTTCCGGACCGGCACGGCTCCGGCCGTGGACTGGATCGGAGGCAGCTTCATGTTGAGGGCTTCACGACTAGACATGACTGCCTGGTCGATGGTTTTAACTACACAATGATAGAAATTAGTTTTCCACTTAGACAACCGCAGCTCGTCTCTCCTTTCCAGCTACCAGAAGTGTGTCTTCTTCTTCGTCTCTTTCGAGGTTTATTGGCGGTTTGTAAACAGCGGATTGGTGCATTTCCGCCCCCTACTGGTGTGGAGTGTGGCTCGCAATATCTAATATGTCCCACTTTTTTTATAAATAATTAAAAAATCAATAAATGACATCTTCTGGATTAACTTAGTTTGTCTGAGGTACTAAAATAAAATCCTACAGCACACTGGATGGTGAGCTGATGTATTCATTCTGAAGGATATTTATGACCAATAAGACAACATACACAACACAACATCATTTCTAACTGACTTTATAGAGCACTGACACACACCAGTTTACTGATTACAACTAGAGCTGCTTAATTCTGAAATAAATATGAAGTTAGAGCGCTGGTGTAGGAGGTAATATGTACACTACCTCCCCCTGGTGGTTAAACATTTAGACGACAGACAGATTTAATAAGATAACTATTACTACATTTAAAAAACCCTCAAACTAACTACCAGACCATCATGTAAAAAAATAATTCAGGATCACACAAACGTATATGAAAAAGTATTTATTTCACTTATTTATTGTGTACAAATGAATCGTAAGGTATTTGTCCTTTGAACGGTCCACCGCGTTACAGCCGTGTTGTCAGAGATGGACCCCTCTCTGTTTGAACAGCTGCTCCAGTTTCTCCTCCAGAGCCAAGTTGGTTCCTTTCAGGCCTTTGACCACCTCCGAGGACCACATGAAATACTCCTGAACCCGCTCAGCTGTCCAACCTGCCACACACACACACAAATAGAGAAGGGATCGGTACGGTGACTGTGGAGTACTGGTACCTGCCAATTTAATGTTTTGTTTTAAGTTCAGTCACTCAGTTTATAATAGTTTCATACGACGTCTAACATCTGAACACTTATACAATACATTTTAAATACTGAAAAATCCACAAAGAATAACGTCTCTATTCTACACTCTAAAACTATTGGCTACGTAGAGCGGTTTGGCATGGCTGAAAATAGGTTCCGTTTAATTGACCACATAATCGTATAAAGTAACATTTTCTTAAACCTACATTAGACAGGATTTTGTTGGAATTCTGCATCTTTAAAAAAAAAGTTAAAAATATATACTTTGACCGTTTTAAAGATGAATATCTTCTGCTGAATATCAAAGTCATGGCTGGGAATGGAGATTCGTTACCAATAGAAAAAAATAAGGAATTTAGTAAAGCGTATATTTAAACTGTTATATGAACGGAGTATGATAATAATCCCCGAAAGATGAAACAGATCAATTTGACTTCTCATGATGTGAAAACATTACGTTATGAGAAAGACTGAACATACAGCGCTCAGGAAAAATTATGAATATGAATAAAACTCTGAAGTAAAATGATGGTCAGCAGGGGAAACCTAGAGAGGGAGCACAAAAACTAAATCTGTAACTCAGCTCGAGACATCTCATTATTAGCTGCTTATTTATTATCAGGTTCTTATAAACCTTCTAGTCTCTAAATAATTTAGAGGAGTTTTGGACAGCTTTGCATGTTTTCGAGGTAAAGGTGATGAACTCTTGTAATAATTAATAATTAATAATTAATAATAATAATTGAATAATTAATCATTTATCCTTAATTGATCCCGCGAAATTCATTTTTCCACTCTGTCTAGTTAACATGCTACACAAACAGAGGCCGAAACACACACACATGCACAAACAGGATCCTATGGACACTAATGGAGAGGTCTCAGAGTGAGGGGGCTGCCCACAGTGGACACTCCTGGGGGGGGGGGGGGTTGGGTGCCTTGCTCGGGGGCACCTCGGCAGTGCTCAGGCGGTGGACTGGTGCCTCTCCAGCTACCAGGCCAATTTCCAGACTTGGTCCGAGGCGGGACTTGAACCGGCGACCCTCCGATTCCCAACAGACCCTACAGACTGAGCTACTGCGGCCACAATATAAAAACTAAACACGTGAAAAAACATGACGATCCAAACGAGCGCAGCATTGCGACAAATTAATCGTTAAATCTCGATTATCTGCATTGCTGCAGGGTGACCCTGGAAAAGAGAACCTCGGTCTCAGTGTGAAAATAAATAAATAAATAAATAAATCTTGTTTTCATGATGGTGGGAAACCAAAATTGTAACTGAAATTGAAACTCGATTAAGTGTCCAGCCCGAACAGAAGTTCCAGTAAGTGTTAAATGCCATTAGTTTCAAACACAGAAATGACTTTAAAATAACAGAAACAACACTGGATGAGCAGCGACAGTAAAGGTACAGTGAGAGAGGTGCTGACCGACAGGTGTGCAGCGGTTCAGGTCCCTCAGGTTGTACAGTTTATCAGCCAGTTTGACCAGTTTAGCCTGGCAGCTGCAGTGAGCCGCGTGTTCCACCTGCTGACGTTTTCTCTCGTGTTTGGGAAGACTTTTGTCGTCCGTCACCTCCTGAACGATTCGAGCCACGATCGGCCCGAACTTTGCCTCCAGCTCTGCAGGTGACGTGTCCGTGTCCTCCACCGTGTCGTGGAGCAGAGCGGCCTGTAACACAAAGAAGAAATACACAGACGGAGAAGCACAACAAACAGTGTACGCTACAGTGATATTCTACTGATAACATACCTGCAAAACCTCGATGTCTGTGACGCCTCCTTCATGGCTGAGGATCCTGGCTACTCCTACACACACACACACACACACACACACACACACACACAAAGCTGTGAGTATCAGAGAAGTCAACAGGAGCTCTCTTTGTTCTCAGCTGCTGAGTGAAGCATCAGCTCGATAAACTGAGCAAACATGGAGCCACACATCTTGAATGCGTCAAAGAAAGATGCAGTCATGTTACGCTCAGAGAATCATGAACAGAAATATTTACATTTTAGAAAAACACTTTTTAACCCATCAGTGTTTCCCCTACCATTATATTGGGGGGGCGGCCCGCCAAGTAAAAAAAATAATAATAATAATAATTTTTTTTATAAAGATTTATTTTTGGGCTTTTTGTGCCTTTATTGTAGAGATAGGATAGTGGATAGAGTCGGAAATCAGGGAAATAAGTCATTTAAGGATATCTTTCTGATAGAAAAGGACAGCTGTCATTAAAAGTAACACATGAACACCAAGAGTCCTTCAAGTGTTTGTGTCAGCGTGTCGTCGTGTCGGCTTGTCCCCACCCCCCCAACGCTGTAAACCTATGGGAAACACTGCCCATGCTTCAATATTATTTACAACAACCTATTTATGTATTTTAACTCGTGCCCACCGATTGATCGGCCAGCCGATAATATCAGCCGATATTAGCGTATCCAGTGACGATCGGTATCGGCTCATTATATCGAAGCGAAGATATGAGCCGATAATATGACAACATTAATTCACCAGTCAAATTGTATTTAATTTGAGTTTAATTGTATTTACACTCGTAGGATTACAATAAGTGATGAACGTACATGCACAGTTACTTTCCAGTTGACTGACCGTCTTGTCTTCATTATATATCAATCAATCAATTTTTATTTGTATTGCGTCAAATCATAACAAGCGTTATCTCGAGACACTTTAGAAAAAGCAGGTAAAAATACCTTACTCTTTGTTATATTACAAAAACCTGGCCTACTCATCATGAGCTATAATATATCCATCATATATCTTTTCTACAAGTGTTTGATAACTGCCTCTGAGGGATTAATGCACTTAATGTGTATATTTATATTTATATATCTCTACAGATTGAACATAGATCTAAGAAAGATATCGGCCGATAAATCGTATTTATTATTTTCTCTCCCAATATCGATATTTGTATCGACCCCAAAAATCACAGTTTCAGATTAGCTTTTATTTCGATTTAAACGTCGATCTCAGTTTTCCGAGCAACACCTGAAGGCATCACATCAAAGTCAAAAGTCTCCTACGCACCGATTGGATGATTAATGTACGGCGTCTCTTCGGGGTCTTTACGTCTTTGGTCGCGATGTTTCTCTGCGGCGAAATTAACCGTCTCCAACAATAAAACCGAGTCTGAACTCATGTTGGAAAGATAACCCGCAGGGACAGAACAAAACGAGTCTAGTGTTGACAGTCAACACCAACCAACGGCGCTCTTCCGGTTGGTTTCCAGCCGCGGTAGTAGTCAGTTCCTGTTTTGTGTCCGGATAGAAACAGCTGCTCATGGGATCAGTTCCGCTCATTTAGCTCCGGAAGCAGGTAGCCTCTACTCTCTGCTAAATACCAAATTTGTATTATAATTTCACAAGTGTCGACAGCGTAATTTTTCTGAATTAGTAAATATCTTTTGTTTACATATTTCCAAATCAGTGTTAAGATTTCCTTGTGGGCCCAGTGTGGTGTGAAGGGTGTGTTTTTAGCCCACAAGCTAAACCAGCTGGTAGATTACAACAACAGCAGAGATTTTCCTCCCCTGTGTTTCAGTTGTTTTTGTAGTATCCTGACAGTGTGTATTTCTTTCTAGTGTCACGACCTTGTAATAAACATTGTATTGTTTTGCACAGTGGGTGGGTGACGGCCTCGGCTCAGGATGGCTCACGGTGCCAGGAGAGATTCCCCGGAGCTCCCTGACTTCTCTCTGCTGAAGAGGCTGGCCAGAGATCAGCTCATCTACCTGCTGGAACAGGTAGGAAAAGAAAACCATGATGTGTCTGCTTTATTCAGCTCGGCTAGCTGCCACCTGGTTCAAACTCTACACATGCTGCCAGTACTGTAACACAATGCATGGTGAGCTTTTTAAAACACAACATTTACTCTACATACAGTTATTATCAGAAGATAAAACATAAATACAATGCATATTTTTTTTTTACACTGAGTTTAAATGGCCTGTGTGCTTTAAGGAAGCAGCTGTTGCAAAAGCAGATGTTGCATGTCTGACCACGCCCCAAATATGATGTCACAGAAGGTATAAATCCAGTGGTTCCAGAGACCCAGATCCAGTGGTTCCAGAGACTCCAGACATCTAAACACATCCAGCTTTTGTTTTCAGTCCCGTCGGTGTTTTGCTGCTGCAAGTACGACCACGTTTAGACTTTTTTGTGATCGTGGACAGAGGAAGAAAGGCTGGGGTGACATGTCTGCACATTGGATGACTGTGCAGGTTTCTTGTTCTGGCATTGGCTACGGCCCACAGTACCCTCTGTTTTTATTGGTCGGTGTGTTAGCTAGACGGCTGTTCTAACTTCCTGTACACTCACAGTTACCTGGTTACCCAAATAGCGATGCGAGAGCCCGGGGACCATCTCTCTGTCCCTGAAAGGTTAAAGCATGTGAGGTCGTGCACAGCAGCACACACACTAATCCAAACACTGACATTACAACAATACTAAAGAAGCACAGCAGCTTAAAATAAGTATATTATTTCAGTGTGTCTGTTTGCGTTTTCATTTACTAAAAGCACAACAGATACTTTCATTATTTCAGTCATGTGCATATTTACATTTTTTACTTTAATTTCAGCACAAATCTCACTTGGACTGTGGTTTTATTGTTAATTGAACAACTTTTTGAATCTGATTTCACAACAGTGGGTAAAATATGTAATTTTAAGACATTTCAAATTTGTTTTTGGAAGAAATGTCACAACCCTCCTCTCAGTGTTCCCCGACTTCCACTTTGGGAACCACTGACCGAGGTGATGGACATTCAACACAATTATTTTGAGAAAACTGTGAAAAAAAACCCTCAAAAATCATCCAATCCCTACCTGCATAACAGAGTATTTCTCTCTTTTCGATTCAACATGTGCCGTGCTTCACTCTTTGTGAGTTCAGGGCTTTGGAATAAACATCTTTACTTTGCAAAAGTTCATTAAAAAAAATGTGAATCTTGTTTTGTGATGTGATCACTAAAGAAACATATTATGTGTGTTTTCTGTTTGACGGGTTTTGTCTCACAGCTGCCGGGGAAGAAGGACCTCTTCATCGAGGCCGACTTGATGAGCCCGCTGGATCGTATTGCCAATGTGTCGACGCTAAAGGTGACCCTCATCCGCTCGCTCTCTCTTCTGACTCCTCAAATAAACTACAACAGACTGTAAATGTTAAACTACATTAATTTTTTGTTTTCTTTCTTTACAGCAACATGAAGTCGACAAACTCTACAAAGTGGAATACAAACCTATTGTCAGCACCTCAGACCAGTGAGCCACACACACACACACACACACACACACACACACACACACACACACACACACACCTGGTGTCACTGTATGATGATGTGTCACTGCTCTCTTTCAGGCTGTGCTTTCTGATCCGGCCGAGGATACAAACTGTGAAATGGATATGTGGTGAGAACAGATTTTTTTGTTTCATGAAGGCTCAATAAAAGTTTTAACAGTCAAAAATTAACTCAATCAATTAGACGTCATTTGGATGTGATGTCATTTAAACTGAAAGAAGGACAAAGATATCCGTGATATCCAAGAGAACCAAGTGGTTGGTGCTCGCCCCCCACGTATGGAGGCTCTAATCCTCTAAGCTTCACATCCAACCTGTGGTTCCTTTCCCACATGACACATCCCGCTCTCTCTCCCTCCACTGTCCTGTCTCTTAATAAACGCCCAAAAAGCCCAAAAATAAATCGTTAAAAAAAAAAACACCAACGGTGCTTTGAATAAGGGCACCTCTTCAGCTATCAGACCAATTTCCAGACTCGGTCCACACCGAGACTTAAACTGGCAGCCATCCAGTTCCCAACCAAAGTCCCTACAGCTGCTCGTAACCCAGAATGATTTCATGTTTGACCTTTGTTGTCATATACATCCTTTATTTCCTGCGTTCTTTAAGAAGCCTACTTTATATCTAATGCTACATTCTTTGTTTTTCAGATGTGGCCAATGCAGACAAGGCAGCAGGAAGACTTAGAAGATACAAGATCATCTTTACCCCTCAGAAGGTTTCGTCTCACTCTGCTGTTGTGTTCACGATCTTTGCTTTGTTTTCTTTATCTCATCAACGACCTTCCTTCATTTGTTTGTCTTCCAGTTTTATGCGTGTGAGGCGGTGCTGGAGGAGCAGGGCATCTTTGGTGGTGAGCGTCATTTACTTTTCTTCAGCAGTGGTTCGTGTTTGTTGGAAGAAAGATTTTTTTTTGTTGCTGTACTTGTGTTTTTATCTGCCAACAGATGTGACCACTGATGAATGGTCCTTCTACCTGCTTCCTCTGGATGATGACATCATCAGTCTGGAGCTGCCGGAGTTCTTCAGGGTCAACTTCCTGGTAAGTAATAAACACAGCGTGAGTTTTGCTGCATTCATGTGGTGTCGTACAAATCGGAAAGACGAGTTTCCGAGTTGTAAAATGCACATGAACACCTGCTCAAGTCGGAACAACAACTCGGAAACTCGGAAAAGAATTAGGTGCCCGACTTCATCATCACATAGGGGGCAAAATATGTTTTGTTATGTTAACATATGTTAACAATTTATTTTATTAATTCACGTATTGCACATCAACTTTTTGCTCAAATATAACTTATAACAGTTACATTTCATTTTTTTTGTGCTGTTGTTACAATATTCTGACTTTCCAAGCTGAAATCACATGAACACACTGAAGCATTAGTCTGGTAGTTTGTGACTGTATGTCAGCCCCGTGGTTGACGGCATATGGATAATGGATAATGGCTAATGGATAATGGATAATGGATAATGGATAATGGATGAATCATTTTGTACACTCATCACTCAGGCAGGGGACCAGCGGTGGGTGAGGACAGCTGGCAGTGCCCTGCACCTCCTTCACTCTCTGTACGGCCCCTTCTCTAAAGTCTACGGGATCGGCCGATGTTCCAAGGTGCAGCATGACCAGAGACTAACATGCAGTTTAACCTTCAGATCCACCGTGTTGTTTTTGATGACAATTTGAACTGCCGTTAACTGTGCAAACATTAGATGGCGTACGAGTCGTGGCGGGAGCAGGTCGAGGAGGGGGAACAGACGGCTCGTCACGCTGAAATAGGAAAAGTTTTCCTCATTGACAGAGGTGAGAAGCAGACCAGGACCCCCTCTTAAGTGGCCGTCATGCTGAACTGTGCCGTGTTTACTATTTAACGTTGTCGTGGTCTTTGCAGATGTGGACTATGTCACGCCTCTGTGCTCGCAAGTCGTCTACGAAGGACTCGTGGACGATATATTTAGAATCAAGTGTGGTGAGTGTCAAAGCATAGCAGAGGAAGGTTAACTGTGTCTGAATACATTCAAACTGTTTTTATTCATTTTTATTTCATTTAACCAGGAAAATATTCTCGTTCAGATATCAGATCTATTTTTTTCAAAGGAGTCTCGACCGTCTTTGTACATTCATATAGATTCAACAAAATATATTGGTGTCCCAGTCTGTGTATTCACATTGACGGCCTAGTGGGAGCTGCACATACACTTACACACAGTCAGCGCTGAGGGATATCGCAATATTTGTGCCTCGGTGACGCGCCACAGGGACGTACATATCTAAACCGGGCTTACTGACACAGAACTGAAAAACAGAGAAATGGAAAAATCTCTTACAGGCATGCTCATAGACCACGAGGCCTTGTTCCTGCACCTCACAATCAAATCGTTGTTTTATCATCGATAACATCAGATAAATTCTTATATATATATATATATATATATATATATATATATATATATAAAAAAAAAATATTTAGCTAATTTTAGAGATACTTTGATGCTGGATTGTTCTGTTAATTGGTCTAATTTTGGCTTATTTCAGACAAATTTAACATTTGAAGACATCACTTGTCCACTCCTGAGTCTTATATTTCAACATCTTCCATCATCACAGATGTATCATAGAATCACTGCTAAAGCCATTTGGGGTAATACTCCCAGCTCCAGCTTAGACTGGGTTGTTTTATTGTAGAACTAAACTTCCGAGTTGTGCGAGGACCCTCTGATTGAAGATTTCTTTGGCACATTCTTGTGTCGACGTGTCGTCTAATCACGGCATCTGTCTTGCAGGATGTGTGGAGTTTGGCCCCGATGTCACGTCCTCGGACAAAAGCATCAAAGTCATGTTGAACTCTCAGGACAGGGTGAGTGTGGCTGACGTTAGAGAGGGAAGTCCTCTGCTGCTGGACTCTCGGGGACGATCCCGTTTAAACTCTCTGCTGTCTCCTAGGTCTTCAACGAAATCAGGAACGAGCATTTCTCCAACGTCTTTGGTTTTCTGAGTCAGAAAGCCAGAAACCTCCAGACTGCATATGACGTGAGTGAACGTTACTCACCCTCATCGATCACTGTTACTATGGTTACCTAAAATGTTTACACTTTTCTCCGTTATTATTAATCCTGCAGAAACGTCGGGGCATGGACATAAAGCAGATGAAGACGTTTGTGTCCGAGGAACTGAAAGGGTTAAAACAGGAACATCGATTACTTAGCCTGCGTGAGTTTTTAGATCAGGACTTTATTCTGTAAATCACAGTGATCGACACATATCTCCGGTTAATGCTGCGTTATTGACGAGCACGTTCTCTTTCAGACATCAGTGCCAGTGAGTCGATCATGAAGAAGAAAACGAAGCAGGATTTTCAGGAGTTTCTGAAGACTGAACACTGTGAGAATCATTTATTTCATCCTCTGATTCAGATGTTTGTGAGTTTTTATATCGTATATTTTTTTATACCAACGCTTGATGTGTTGTTTTCTGTTTCAGCTTTACTTGAAGGATTTGAAATCCGTGAATGTATTTCTTTCATAGAGGAGCACATCAACAGACAGGTCAGTGACGGAAACGTTTCAATCAGGGCTGTCAAACGATTACATTTCTTCATCGCTAAATTGCAAAAGTTAATCACACATTTGTGAATCCATGTTTGAAATAAATTCCATTATATTACAAAGGCCAACAGGGTACCCCGTGCACTATCTATATACGCTCTCAGGTTTGCACGGTTGCAGGAACATATCATGAAATTATAACTCAAAAATGACCAACCATGCCTTTAATTAATCGTGATTAACTAGTTCATGCTGACAGCTCTAATTTAAATACTAGGACAGGTGATATAAAAATGACAACAAACTGGAAACACATAATGTTTTTTTTTTTTTTTAAAGGTCTCCATGATAGAGAGTCTGAGGCTGCTTTGTCTTTTGTCCATCACAGAAAACGGTGAGTCGTCTTTTTCAATAGACGGAAATGCAGAAGATTCTCCTGCTGAAGTAATAACTGTGAGATGTGTTTGTTTCCTGTCTCTCACAGGTCTACTGCCAAAAGATTACCGGTCATTAAAAGCACAATATCTACAGGTGTGTGTAGTTCCCAAACAAAGTGATTTATGGAAGCCACATAGAGACTGAAAAAAGCTTTTTGTGTCAGGATCTGCACTTCGAATCCGACCTTAAACTTAGAAACATTCGCAGCTATGAGGCATTTTATGGAAACATAACAGTGGAAATTATTTTAGTGAGTTTATTGTTAGTGCTACAATTTTCTTTTATTTGTGTGTGTGTTGCTTTGAATAAATGTGTCTGCTCAATGAGAATGATCGGATTTCACTGTGGGTCCAAGTTGTGAAGCTGCTGGTCTAATGTTTTTTTTTTTGCTAAACCTCATCAGAGCTATGGAGTAGACCACCTGCTCACATTCACCAACCTGAGGCAGCTCGGGCTGCTGGTGGAGCAGCAGCCGGGAGAGACGCTGACCGTGATGGAGAGCAAAGTGGGGAAACTCGTTAACGACAAGACTGCAGGTAAAAAAAAAAAAAAAGAAGCCTTTTCTATATCAGAATCATTTCTGTTTGCATGTCCTGATGTATTGTTTTTGGGAATTCTACAGACTGAATACTTTTGTCTTTTCTGCTTGATTTATTCTTCCAGGAAAGTTGACTGACGCCTTCTCTTCTCTCGCTAAGAAGAGCAATTTTAGAGCCCTGAGCCGAAGGCTAAATTTGGTAAATTAGCTTCTTTCATGTTCTTCCTTCAAAAGGCATTTGTCCTCATGTCAGTGTGTTTTTTCGTGTTCTCGCCTTGCTGAAAGTTCAGTATTTTAATGAGAATATTACAATTTATTGTGTAAAGGTGCCGAAGACTGATGAAGAATACGACCTGCGCGTCCCCAGAGACATGGCTTACATTTTCAGCGGTGCCTACGTCCCCCTGAGCTGCAAACTCATCGAGCAGGTGATTAAAACTAGCTGTTTTTGTTCATTTCACAGCATCTGACTGGTTGTCTTTATCATGAATAAATAAGAAACCACATGATACAGTTCTTTGTCCTGCTCCGGTCAACTGCAGGTGCTGGAGCGAGACGGTTGGACTGGGCTTGAAGAAGTAACCCGGCTGCTAAACGGGCATGAATTTGCCGTTACAGGTAAAGACATGATTTGAATCTCTGAAGTTTCACTGAATGTTTACATGCTTAGGAATATCAGGGTGAATTATTTCTGTAGAAAACACATATCTTACACTCAAAGGGAAAAACACATCTGTCTTTTTTAATCACCTTAAGGCCCTGACACACCCAGCAGACGGCAAAGATCTAGTAGCCTTCAGCCTTTAACTAGCCGTGGAGAAAGACAGTGTTTCTGCCATGTGTATGTGTTAATGAGTTTCTTATTGGCTTTTTACTTGTGTGAATTACATAACAAAGGCTTCAGATAGGAGAGCGCTGTGATAGCAGAGGGGCAGGATGAAAGAAAAGATCCCAACACCAGGGATTCATCTTCCTACTCAAATGATGAATTTCATCAATCTTTATTTGTATAACTCCAATTCATAACAAAGGTCAAGACACTCTAGAAAGCGAGCAGGTAAAAGACCATAGTCTTTGTTATATTATCTACAAACACCCAACAATAATCCATCATGAGCATGAAAGCAACATTTAGTTTCACTGTGTCACGGCCATCTCACAAACCCGTGACAAAAACTTTAGGAGACAAGGAGTACGCTCAACAATACACAATAATACAATATCACAATAAATTTCTGTCTCGCTAATTCACCAGAAACGTACAACCTGTGCCTGAAGCCATTAACATAATCAATAAGGTTTTTGGGTGGATCACTGCTCTTAAAATGATCTGACAAAACTGCCAGAGGACCACGCACAGAGTGTCCAAAAACTAACTCATTTGGACTAAACCCAATGCTTTGATAGGGACAAACGGGGGATCCATAGCAGCAGGGTGTCCTCCACCAACGATCCAGAGGAACCTACGAGAGCTCACCATCTGGCTTAATTCTGAAACAACCACAAAATGAACTATGTTAACTCAAATTTTTATTTATTTATTTACAGAAATCAGGTCGTTCGAGTGGCTCCACTGTGTTTTCTTTTTTGTTTCTTGACTGTTTCAAAAGACGTCGACTGAATGCTGAAGTTTTTATCTCTCATCAGGCAGCAACGGAGCCGATTCAAGAGCAAAGAGCGACGCTCAGCGCATCATCCTCGTCATGTTCCTCGGCGGCTGCACCTTCTCAGAGATTTCAGCCCTACGCTTCCTCGGCAGAGAGAAAGGTACAACATGGTCTGAACTGTCTTCTGTCCTGACTTGTTACCAGGTGTAGTAGTAGATATTGGATTGGAGAGTTTGACCTTGTATTCCTGCGCTTCCAGTACATGAGGATGATCCATTTAGATCACAGAAGGAAAATAATGTCGACAAAAAAAGTAAAACATTCATATGAAATTAAGATTTGTCCCTTTTTTATGGTATGGAGATAAAGATAACCCTGCTTACGTCTACACTCGATGTGTTGTAAAGAATGTTTATTATTTTATTGTTTTTTTTTATTATTTCCCCTGACATCACCAGAAAATAAAAAAAACTATAGACCCATTTAGTTGAACTTTAAGATAAATTCACCAATGCTTTCTGTTTTAACATTACATCAGTACTTTAATAAACATTATTGTTCCTTTTTTCCAGGTTATAAATTCATCGTGGTAACAACAGCGATCACCAACAGTTCAAGACTCATCGAGTCTCTGCTGGACAACCATGTATGAAGCGTGTCGGCCATTAGAGCTGGACAGATACTGAGACATTCCTGCAGACACTTGTCATGCATTCCCTGCAGTGCTGACATTACAGCTGGATATACAGCATTCACTAACGCCCTGTGTCTGACATTAAAGAACTCTTAAGATGTATAAAGTGAATAAATGTTTTTAACTCGACTCTGGCTGATTCTCCTTCTCTTTATCTTAGTCACCTGTGATTCAGTGTTCAGTCTATAATGATTTTATTTCTGTTCTTTATTCAACATCAAACATTTAAACTGTCGGACATTTCACTAATTACTTCAAGCTGCTTATTTATATGATATAATAAAAATAACCAAACTTAACAACCAAACTGATAACAAAACAAGACAAAAATATATGATAACTTGAAAAAATGTTGTGTATTTTTGTTTACTTCAACTTGTTTTGTCTGATGTAAAGTGCTTTATAAATAAAATGTGGTATTATCGTAATTTTTAAATAAAACGTGTGTAAAACTCAAGTTATTCAGAGAGTCCAAAGGCACTTATTTTTTCCACATTTTTCAAATACTAAAGATTTTTAAGTACTACAAAATTTAAAAAAATCTAAATTTGTATAAAGAATTTACCTTTAACCTAAATATTCTTATACACAAAAAAATCACGATTAACAAAAGTGTCATTGTCGTTGCGTCACCACGCCCTGCATGAAACTGGCGTCTGTTTCATTCTCGGGTTGTTTTTTTTCGAGGGGCGGGGCTGCTCTTGTGATTGGCTGTTAAAGCTTCGGGTGGGCGGTGTCGAAGCGCGGCTGCAGAAGGAGCCAATCAGAGAGCGGAACGCCGCTGCACGCGTATTTTGAACTGTCGGGTAGCAACGGACCGGACTGGACTGAAGAGAGCTGAGCGAGGGGGCAACGCGGCGCTTGTCTTTTTATTTGACAAGTTTAAGTTGTTTTAAACTGTTCACGAAGTCGGCAAACAAGTCTGGACTATACAATGAGGCGGAGGTAAGATTAAAACGTATTTTCTGCCCCCCGGAAAATACTTTAAATGTACTTACTTAACGCAAGCTTATCCTTGCAGTAGCGGTTAGCTCGAACATAATAGTGAATTTGGTTTACTGTAGAAGTTGTACACGGTACAGTTGAGTTAGTTTACTGGTTTTATAGTCGATGTTTCTGTGTTTCTGTAGCGAGGTGCTCGCAGCAGAGTCGGTGTCCTGCTTGAATAAAGCGCTGATCCACCTGAAGGACATTTGGGAGGAGATCGGTATCCCAGAAGACCAGAGACTGCAGAGGACTAATGTAGTCAAGAACCACATTAAGGTGAGACATCAACCATTTCACTGCTGGTGTGTGATAGTGAAGAGGAGGTTAACACTTGACCTGCGTTATAAACAGGTTTCGACAGAAGAGGAGGGTGAGTGGAACAGGTCAGTCCAGGGTCAAACTAGAGACCATATATTACACATTACCCATACTGCACAAGAGCTTTCAAAACACAGCAAAAACACTTGTGCTTCGTGGTTTTTTCTACTCTTGTCCACTAACTCAAACGTGTGGATCATCCATCAGTTTAAAACAAAGTGCACAAATGTGGATTATCAAGGCAGTACGATATGAAAAGACAGATCAAGTTATTATTCAATGGAAGTCTTATCTCCAGCAGAATCCAAAGAAAGTACCAGAGCACACTAAAGGCTAAAGGCAAATGTATTCTGGTGCCAAAAAAGCTGCTATCTGACTCATCTTGGGCATACAGACATCAAAATTAAAAGAAAACATTTGAACACCTTTAGTTTATTGTCATTGCACATAGTTCAAAACAAGAGGGGAATTCATCACATTCAGCAACAGCCTCACATCCATACACGTTTTTAAAAGACAGAAGCAGATAAAATGAATCTAGGGCAGTGTTGTTGAAAACTCTGCACCTCTGTGTAGTAATGCATGTTACAGGGATAAAGACAAAAAATGCATATATGTTGCACATGAGACACTTTTAGAAAAATACAATATTGCACATTAGATATGTAAAGCGTGGTTATTTGTACATTGTTACTGCGCCATAAAATATTGGCACACATGCTGTGTCAAATGTAAGTTTTGTTGGGGGAGGGGGGGTGTTCTTGTCTGTGATGGCTCTAGGGTAGAAACTGTGTTTAAACCTTGATGTCTGGGTCTTAAGGGAATGAAGGATAAAGACAGAAAAATTCATACGGTTGCTATTTACAAAAGTGTTTTCCCTCAAGACAAAAACAACAACAGTATATTGTTTTATATTTGACAAGAAAGCTTCCTATGCAAACAAGTGGAAGAAAAACTTCTTCATAGAGTCATAATGTTATGCAACAAGGCCCTTTATGGTCTTATGGTCTTTCTGAAGGGTTAGCAAACAGCTGTAGTGTGCATTAAAAACCCTAGGACAGTTGCTAATAAGAAATCTGTTTCTCCATGTTTTCATATGTGAAGAAGGGACTGTCAGCAGATTGAGACACTGGATATCGATTCTTAAATCAACACACGACCATCTGCTGAATGCTTATTTTTTTTCTTCTTCTGTTTATTCACTAGAACTTGTTGGAAATGATGGTCAAAGAAGAGGAGTCTCTGAAAAACAGGCTGATGAGCAGTATTGAAACATGCAGGGCAGAAATGGAGAAGCTTTGTCTGGAACTTCAGCTGCCATTGTTTGAGGTAACAAAAGCTTTTACATCTACCTGTTACAGATACACAACTGTTTGATTTGCTTGCCAGCGATTGACGTTTGCATACAAACGTTTTGTTAGTGTTTTGTAAGTTCACACTTAATATACATGCTTACTATGTTTTCATTTTTGTCTTAAAACATTTATATTCTAATCCAATAATAAAGTAGTCATTGTTTGGTGATCATAATTATAATGGACGCGCAGAAGAGAAAATAAACATCTTGTTGTTATCTCCTCTGTATGTTCAGGAGGAGAGTGGTATCAGCATGCTCCAGCAGGAGAAAAACATCCGCACACAGGTGGATGCTCTGACGAAGGAGAAGACTCAGCGGATGCAGCAGCTGAAGCTTCTTCTGGACCAGGACCAGGACCTGTGCGACATCCTGTGCTCCATGTCTTACGGCATCGCTCCCGACTCCGTCCCCTCCCCGGAACAGCTGGAGAACTTCCGGCAGCACATCGCCAACCAGAACGAAGAGAAGGTGAGAGGGATCATCTGCTTTGTTTGGTTGATGTGGTTTCAACCCTCCTTTCATCTTTGGACCCGTTTTAAAGCTGCTTAGAAAAGATTAAAATGCACACAGGGCATTTTATATCAGAAGTCTTGTTAAATGGCTCTTAAGGTCATAGTTTCTCTTGCTGGTTGACATGCTTCTACTTGAAACATGACATTTTAGAATAGATATTAAAAGCAGTGTGTTTGCCACATGTCCCTGAGCTGTTAACATACTCTCCTCTCCTAAATCATAATCTTAGGGACACTTGGGATGTATCATATCACTTCAAGAAATTGAGAAAGTGTAAAGGAAAAACCTGAAGGTCACTGGATAAAAGTATTAACAAGACTACCCCCAAATCATGAATTTAAAATTTGTTTTGACATCTCTTTGTTTTTCAGATATTATACCAAAAGTAAAACACAAGAAAATATGTTTATCTGGCATTTAACTATGAATAGCAGCATCACATAGCTTTTCTTCTCTCTCGTAAACCCGGTCTAATCCATACATGTCAAATTTCTTGCCGCGTGTTTCAGACGAGGCGGTATGCTGAGTTCACAGACATCAAAAGGCAGATCATCTTGCACATGGAGCAGCTGGACCACATCCCTGAGACCAGCTTTGAGAAGGACGTGGTCTGTGAGGACGAGGACTCTTTTTGCCTCTCCAGAGACAATATCACATCCCTCAAACTGCTTCTCTGCCAGGTGAGAGTTTTAAAACAGTGTTGGATTTATAATCAGGCTTTCATGTTGACTGGCTGATGTTTAACCTCTTTAATAAAGTCAGTGAAATATGTGAACTGAGGGATCCCTCACCGGTACCTCTTTTAATTCCAGTCTAACTAACTGTTGCATGGTCACAGTTAATGCAGGAGTGTTGGTGACTGATGTGTCTCTGTCCCTCTTGCAGCTGGAGGAGCGTAAAGCAGAGAACGAGGCGATGTGTGAGAGTCACAGGGAGAAGATCCAGCAGCTGTGGGACAGACTGCAGGTGCCGCAGGAGGAGAGAGAGGCCTTCAACGAACACATGGTCACATCCAGGAAGAGGAACTTGGAAGCGGTGAGAAATTACAAGTGTCCTGAGCCACCGACTCAACGCTACATTTATTTTTATGACAGTCCATTCTGTGGCTTCTGGTTCTTCAGTTTACACTTTACTCTTCCTCCTCAGTTGCGAGCAGAGGTCCAGCGTCTAGAGGAGCTCAAACTCCTAAACATCCGAAATGTCACAGAAGCCATCCGCTCTGAGATCGCCGTGTTCTGGGACAGGTGCTTCCTCAGCATCGACCAGCGGCAGGATTTTGCACCATATTTTAGCGGTGGGTTCTCTTGCTTTGCATTTAAACGGGTTTCATTCAAAAGAATATTGGACTTTATCAAAGTGCTAAGACTCTTGACTGTTTCAGAGGACTTCACTGAAGAGCTGCTGAGCGTGCACGATGCTGAGATCCAGCGCTTGAAGCGGCATTACGAGGACCACAGAGAGCTTTTTGACGGGGTTCACCAATGGGAGGACAGCTGGAGACTCTTCCTGGAGCTGGAGGTGAGCACACCGACTCTGGTCTTGATTTATGAAGGACTCTGCATGGACATTGTTATGCCCCACCATAAAGTGGCCCTATGGGGCTAACAACAATACACAAATAGACCCAGTAAAATACTTAAAAACACCTTAACCAAGTCAAAATCAAGGGATTTATTACTAACATGACAAACCCAACAGACAATCCCTGACTGAGAGGCACAGCAGTCCCAACTCCAAAAGGCTCTCTTCCTGAAGCCGGAACTGCTATTTTAAGCTCTGAGGCCAGGTGTGCGTTAGTGGCTTCACCTGTGCAAACAGCACAGGGAAACATACAGCCGCAACAGATATGAACCTCTGATCAGCAAAGGTGTTCTGTCTTCAATGTAATGAATTGTGGTTGATATAAATTAGTGAAGTCTGAACCTAAAGAAGACTCCAGTAAGTCACAGGAGGCCCATTGGGGACCACATGTAATTTAGGGGTTCTGGAAGCTCTCAGCACTTTCATACAAAAAGGGAATGTAATCTTTATTTTTTTGTGTTTTTCTCATTCTCAGAAAAAAGCCACAGATCCGACAAGATTTGCAAACAGAGGAGGGAATCTTCTCAAAGAGGAGAAGCAGAGGTCTGAGCTGCACAAAAGTCTGCCCAAGGTAAAAATGTAGATTTAGATTATTTTTTGTCTAAGCATGAAATATCTTTTGTCTCAGGAACTCATTACTGTGTGTCTTTGTTGTTGTTGCTTTAAGCTTGAGAAAAAACTAAAAGCCGAGATCGACGTGTGGGAAAGTGAACAGGGTCAGGAGTTTCTGGTCAGCGGGCAGAAGTTCCTGCAGTACGTGGAGGAGCAGTGGGAGCTGCACCGAATCGAGAAAGAGAAGGAGAAACAAGAAAGGGTAAACAAATCCCTCTTATTGCATAGTGGGCTACACCTGTATGTTTAGTGGAAAATGTGTTGACACGTCTCTTTGACAAACTCCTGACAGCATCTGAAGAAGAGCAAACAGACTGAGGTGGACATGCTCTATGGAACAGCTGTACGCACCCCCACCAAACGCAGATTCCTCGGCACCACCACCCCAAACAAAACACGCAAGGTAAACCAAGTTTGTGGCTCACGTTTATATTACTGGTACTATCAATTCTTTTAAGACTAATTGAATTCTGTTAGGTCGCTTGGCTCTGTGGGCACTAACCCCCTCCCTCCCTCTGCCTCTTTTATCAGTTTAATGCCACTTCCAGCATCTCTAGCGCCACCTCTAACAGCACCATGCGCTCTGCTTTTGGTGGAACTGTCTGTCGCTCGCCTGTGCCCCGCCCACCGCTCTCGGCAAACAAGGTTGGTCAAAGAACTACAAACATAATGGAGAAGTATTTATTTAACAGGGTTTTCTTTGACAATGCTCATGAACCAAAACAAATATACTTAAAATGCTTTTACCTGAGTCAAGGTACTTCTCTCATTCTTCCTTCTAATTTGGCGCTGAAATATAACCATTTGTATGCGTGGTTATTAACACCCTTTACACCTCGTTTTGCAATGTATAACACAGAGGAGGAATGGTGGGGTGAAGTGGCTCTGTCCCTGATCCTCCGTCTGAAGTAGTGACAGAGCATCATAGGGGGAGACGGTGGTAATGTGTAACATCAGAGCCGTGTGTGTGTGTGTAGCTCCTGCCTGAAATCACACCAGGGACACCAATATCACACGGTTTCTGATGCGATGTTTAAGTTCTTGGTTGAGGGATCCCAGTCTCTGTATGGCTGTTGATACACAAACTTTTCCACACTTTCCAAATGTGACCTTTTAAATGTGTGTCATACTCCTTACCCTTTGATTGTTTCAGGCTTAGAGTGGGGTGGACTTGTTCCTTCTGCCTCTTTATTCAGCTGTTTTAATCATCCTTATCTTCAGATCTGTTTGTTTTAGAGGTATGGACTCCTGGTGAAAGTCTTAAAAAATCAGCAAGGGGCTCTGTGAAGTTTGTAATCTGCCGTGTTGTTGCTCCTGCATTGATCTGTGAACACTGATTGTTACTTTACGTTCCCTGAGATGTCTAGGGGATGAGAGGAGTGACAATCACGAAACGCTGACAAATGATTTATTAACAACTTAAAGTGGATACACAATTGAACTGAAAAACAGGCTTCTATCAAACACAACTGAAGAGAAGCCAAACACTGACTCAATTTAAACACCAACACAAAACTCAGATTAACAGGAGGAACTACGACGACGTCAGACAAGTAACTTCCACACAATCACTGCACGACCCACTGGTGACTGCTCTCACCTCTCCTGCTTTTTATGCTGAGGACGTTTTGATTAGTAGTATCAGGTATCAGCTGAGCTCAATCACCAGCTGCAGTAGGGACTCAAGACAGTACCAACCTGCAGAGAGAGAGAGAGAGAGGAACAAAAACAAAAAACACACACAGCATTACATCATGTAACACTGGTACAGCAAAAACTAAACAACAACCAATAGTGCAGATATATTTGATGGACAAAATGAAAGTTGACTCGTGATCTCCTCCATTCATTTTCTAAATCATTGACTGATTGCTGTTTTCTGATGTTAGAGGAGTGATTGTTTGTTCCACTTGTCTGATGTTATTCTCTCCTTCTGTGCGCCCTCCAGGTTCCAGCGGTGCGGACGCCCGGTAGCAGTAGACCCCCCAACCCACGACTGCAGGGCTGTAACAAGGAGAACGAGGTCCGGTCGAAGGGGACCCCTCTGAGTGGTGGGTTGCTGAACTCCGCTAGTCCACAGCCTAACTTCAGCATAACCTCTGTTGCCAGCACATATTCTGAATTTGTGGTAATTTAATTTTTTGCCTTAATTAATTCTTTCTGCATGGTTTTCCTCATTCATGTTCAGTTCAACTCTTAAAATGATTGTTTAATTATCAGACAATGATGAAGCATGTTAATGATGTACATTTATATTATAGAGGGACTTGGTCAACACTGAATCTGTTCAGTCAAGGTGTGTTTGGAATCCTTAAAGTTAAGTGTTAATGCCACTAATCCCATGATGACTTGCAGTTATTGCATGCCTCTAATCAAAGGGAGAAATTACCCTTCAAGAAAAGGTGATGTTTAAACTTGAACACAGTCGCTTTGTGAGGCCCCGTGCGCCCAGCGTCTTCTTCCAAGCGCCCCGCCTTTTTTGTGCGTCATCTCAAAGCACTCAAGTGGAAAATATTTCAACTTTTCAGAAAGGCGCTGTTGACATCTCCGGCACTTTTTTCCAAATGTATAATATTCCCTGTAGTTTTGCCGCCTACAGATCGTGTCTTGTACCCACATCCTCTTTGTTCCGTGTCCGATCTCAAATTTAAAACATGCTGTGAAAAGAAACGGAGCCGTGTCAGTCATAAAGCGGCTGTAGTCAACAGACTGTTGTCATAGAGACAGGACGGACATGCAGTGCATTTCTTCTCAGTGCAAAAACACTTCATGCAAGTGGTCTGTAGTGTACAGCCAGCGCTTTTCTGCCCGGAAAAAACCTAAGTAGACACGAGGCCTAAGACTTCAGAAAGCATTCTGGTTAATGTAAGAATCATTCCAGCCATGTTTCAGCTCAGTTCTTTTATTTCAGTCAGTTATCGCTTATTTTTGCAATATTACGTTCAACATATTTTCAAGCAACCCAAATCTAATCCAGTGTCGTTTCTCGTCATAAATTGTGGAGGGTCTTGGCACAGAATCTTCAATTTAATGCATCACGATGATTCACAAACCATCATTAGAAAAAAAAAAAAAAAACATAATCAGGTCAACAGAGATGTTGAACTCAAAATCTCTCATTTAAATGCTCTACATTTTCAGATTTCTGGTGCAGTTCCATTCAGTGAATGGAAAGTAAAAATGTGGACCTTTTCCTGCACCGTCATGACTTTTCAGGAATTGGTGCCAAGAGTTCTTTACAGACATTTTGCAGTGAAGACATGGTTTGTATAAAAGGAAGACAGACACAAGAAAAATGTGCAAACCAAAACTGAGTAGCCCTTCACATCAGGATAGTTTCTACAGTTTGACCCATAAAAATGAATTTTTCCTCTCTTTATGTCACAGTTTAAACATTTTGAGTCGTCCTTTTCTCTCTAATGACACTAACAGCTTTCAGAGTGGCTCAATTCATGGCAATAAAAAGTGTGCCTGTTTGATTTGCATCTTTGAGTCGCCTCTGCTCCTCCATGTTTTCAAACTTTGGAGACATTGACTTTAATGTCTACTCTTTCTGGTTCTATAGCGAGACCTGTCCAAAGCCTCCAACACCAAGATCCAGCACGACGTCCTGAACTCCACCAGCACCAACCTCTGACCTCCCCGCTCACATCGTCGCCCTTTCAATGAAGTTCTGATTCCTTCCCATGTGGATCTCTGCTACCTGCTATAAAATGTAAATGAAGGTGATAATATATTAAGTGTTGAGTCAGTGGTAAACACTTTAAACAGCTGTTATATAAATGAGACTTTGCGCTGTCCATCACTGTGTGTATGAGGATAACATATGTATGTCACTAACACTACTGTTATGGATGGAGGTAGTCTGTGACCTCCAGTGCTTCTAACGAGCCTATCATTGAGAGCACCTCCTTTTATAGAGCAGCCAGGCTGATGAGCACAGACTGGGTGCAATCAGGACAGGTGCTCTCAATGATAGGCTCGTTAGACGCACTGGAGGTCACAGGCTAACTCCATCCGTAACACTGCTTTGGCTCTCTAAATGTATGAAGAGGCAGTAAATGTCTGCATCGATTAGTGCACATTTAAACGAAAGAAAGTTAAAGAATCGTCTCTTGAATTTATGCAATCTGGGGTTAAAGGCCAAATGTATTATGAATACTACTTATGCACTTTTTTACTTAGAACATATTTTTGCAGTGCACACTCACTGTCATCCAACTCTGTTTTTATATTTTTATGTATGCTGTAAATAGTTCTGTCTCCACTCCTTCTCTTCATAGGACTGTTTGACAATAAGCTTGTTGTTTAAACAGACAGTTGAAATATGTCATGTATAGGTGCTGCGCTATTGTTTGAATATAGTTAAATCATTTGGATTCAATACACTATTGTGACTGATTTGAAAAAAGCTTGTCAAAATGCATTAAATGTTTTTTCACTTATAAATAAATGACTGAAATGTGTTTTATTGGATCCTCTATTTACACTTTTAATAGTTTTTACGTATCAGATAGAAAACATGAATTTAAGATAACATCACAGATATTCCAGTTTGTCTTTTCCTTTTCTGCGTCTGTCTCATTCAGGAGCTTTTTTTTCCAACCAGTCAATTTATTTAACTCCTGCTGAATTTCTTTAAAACACAAAGCCTGACACTCTGACATGATCAAATACTTCCCTACCTATGGACTCGTTTTAGTTTTTACACCCAGCAGAGTCAAAGCTAGGAATTTAGAAATGTAGAGGTCACTAGTTTTAAAAGTCACTTATGATGCAAAATCCACGTCACCATGTTTTTCTAACACTAATATGTGTCCCTAGCTGTCTACAAAAACACTCCAGTTATGAGGAAAAAAAAAGTCCATCCTCTCTGTCTTTTCCCTGCTCCACTTTTCAGAAAATGTGTGCTCAAACAGACCGTTCGGAGACTTTCCCTTCATGACATCACAAAGGGCAGTAACCCCTCCCCCAGGTGGGTGACACTCCCACAGCTAGGTATTGTTTTTCTTTCATTAGCTTTAAGAGGAAATTCAGTCCATCAAGTTTGCAAAGTGTTATGTGGGTGAATCTGATTCATCTGTTTAAAAAAAAAGCATATCATATGTCTCCGTTTGGTGGTTTATCTGTTCTTTATCGATTTAAAGCACACAAATGAATTGAGGCTTTTACTGTTTGATCGGAAAGTCTTGTGGAGATTGTTGACTTTTAACACTTTTTTTTTTTAGCTTGAGTTGAAGCCAAGAGACATTTTGCCAATAAAATCTCAGATAGCATGGATTACAAAAGATTCCTTTTCAGTGTCTTCGTCTCTCCGACCTCGCAGTCAGCAGATTCCTATGATTGGAAGACTTAAAGGTTTACCTGTAAGACTGATCGGTCACGCCTGAGTAAGGCAGCTAATCTCTTAACCACACCAAGGTAAACACAAATATTCTGTGAGGATGTGTGAAGCAATATTTTCGAAAGATGGGAAAAAATAAAAACCCTACGGTTGACTTCAAATGTAGTGATCAGAAAAGTGAAGACTAAAGCTTCAGGTGGATTTCAGGCAGGCTTAATGTACAGGGCAGGCTGATGTTAGTTTATACCATTTGGGTAAATTAATCAAAGCTTGATTAATTTAATCAGCGTTGATCAACACCTGGTGCCGTTATCTGTCTCTGCATACTTTGAATTTGTGATATGAAGTTCAGACGTCTCCCTGCTCTGATTAATGTGTGTTTCCATCAGTCGTCCATGATGTATTTTTACACCACCAAACTTATTCTTCAATCGTCCTTCTGAGGTGTCTGGTCAATAATTATAGATATGTTGTAATAAAGCGCTGCTACTGAGTTTATACTTTGTGTATTTCGTCATTTTAGCAGAAAAACTTTCCTTTTAATCTAAATTTAGAGTTAAACCGAGTATGATATTTAAGTACAGCAGTTTAGAGAATTTATTGATTTTGAACAACAACAAATAAACACATGTTGATATAATATTCAACATGCTTAACATAAGTCATGAAACATAAAATAAAAATAAAACCAGTAAAGAATGTGCGAACATTTTAGCATCTGCTTTTTTAAAATTTGTGTTAAAAAAAAGAAATAAACCTTCACACATTCATTTCATAAGACAGATGTGTAGGAGAGTTAAGTGTCATTCAAAACATAGAGGTAACCTCCTGCATGCTGTCTGAGTTGCAAACAAACATTTATTGGCTGTGGATCAGTGGTAGAGTCAGTCGTCTCTCAACTGGAAAGTTGGGGGTTTGATCCCCAGCTTCTGCAGCTACATATCCAAAGTGTACTCGTGGGCAAGACACTTAACCCCATGTTGCTCCCGCTGCTTCATCGGTCGTGTATGAATGGGATTAGTCAGGGGTGGGCAACTGCGGCCCCCGTCAACCCTTAATGTGGCCCTCAGATCAATTTTTTACACATCAATTAATTGGAAACATGAAGAAAACATGACGAAATCTGCCATGAAATCATGAAAACCAGAAGTATGTCCATAATAATATTTGATCACTGTTACATGTTGAGTTAAATTTGAGACATAATTGACTGTAATCGTTTTTGTATTCTACAATTTGGCCCCTGGCAGTGAGTATTAAATGAATGTGGCCCTTGCTGTGACCAAAGTTGCCCATCCCTGGGATTAGTTAATACCATAGACTGTAAAAATAATTAATAGTTAATACTGAAGGACACGGTACATAGAAACATCTGCCATCAGTGACACATGAAATTAAAAAAAAAGATCTTAGATTTAAGAACCAGTTAAAGTTACAGAGCGGTAAAAAGATGTGAATTCCCCCAAAATAACAAACAAAATATCAACCAAAAAAAGAAAGAAAAAGAAAGGAAATAAAAGAGGTTTAATTTGCCATTTAATCGAGCTGGTGGAGATCACGGAATTTACTCTGAAGGATTCGTACCGGAAGTCCCGCTATTCACTGACCAGACTTCCGGGCTCCTTATTAGAGGAACACACGTGAACATGTCAGACTTCAGTACGTGGTTCACTCACACCTTTCTCAGTAACAGTGTGTGGTAAAGCGACGCCGGACGACTTTTAAAGCTCAGTTTTTTCAAAAGAAGCGTCTCAGCCATGTCGGGCGCGTTAGCACGGCTGCTCTTCTACCCGACTTTAACCTTCAACGTTGTCATGGAGAAAGTTCCCTCAGACGCTGGTTTGACCGAGTGGACGACACCGTGATCCTGGGAGCGCTGCCGTTCAGATCCATGACTAAACAGGTCAGACTGCCTCAACAAGGAAATCCTCTTTCACCTGCAAACACTGAACACAATCCTCCTCTTCCTCTTCTTCTTCTTCTTCCTCTTATTTATAACCATGAAGTCAACATGACTGGCGCATATATAACTCTGTCTCCACTGAAGACTGCATGTTGTGCATCAAAGGTCATTTTTTAATATTATTTATACCAACTGTGATGAACAGTGGCACGAAATGGCATTATGAAGCTCAGTCGTAATTATGGTTCATTGAGCCCGTTAATATTTACAGTCTTATGATTGAGCCATAATGTTGAAATAGTCGGTTACTATGGCAACATAATCAGAATCAGCTTTAATGGCCTGGTTTGTTTACAAATACACATCAAAAGGAGTAGATGGATTAATAAACATGTATTTAGTGTTTTGAGTGACATCATGATTACATTAGAGGAACCAGGTGAGTTATTTGAGTCGTTCAGCTCTGTGGTGTAGTGCAGGTATATCCAGGTATATGGAGTATACCCACTTATTTCAGTCTCCATAAGGTATGCCCACTTCTAAATCTCTTTGATTCACACCATTTAATGATTTATATTCAGTAGTTTGCTACAATTTTTTTCCTAGGATGCTGAAGGGATGACCCTCCCTACTCTGTCTCATTGACTAGAATGTACGAAGGAATGTGCATGAGTGCAATAATAATAATAATAATAATAATACAAGGACAACAAGAGAAGCAATATATTCAGAAATTAATTCATACATGAGTCATGAATCAGTTTTTCTTTCAACACAAAACCAGATAAAATAAAATAGAATAAACATCATGATGATGATGATAATAAAGCGAGGACAGGGCAGCTACACTCTTTGTTTCTCTTCTCTTGTTCCATTAACAGTTTGCTGTATTTGAGGTTTCATTTCAGCAGTTCAGTGGATCACGTGATGACGTCACTGCCTGCGGCCTCACCGTTTCAGTGAGCTCGTCTGTTAAAGTGTCGTCCACTCTGACGACTGATTTCTTCCTTCTCTCTTGTTCCAGCTGGTAGAAGCAGAAAACGTTCGAGGTGTCATCACCATGAACGAGATGTATGAAACCAAATATTTCTGCAACTCGGCCGAGGTGAGTTCTTCCCGTAACATGTTGAAGACTCAGCCAGGTGAACGGCTTGTGTTTATTATAGGATTATAAATATTCATTAACTAAAAAAAAAAGTTCCATCAATTCCAACGTGGCTGTCTTGTGTTTGTGTCCAACGTTCTGCAGAGGATTAGTGATCTGTTTAGAGCAGACATCAGTTCATTATTGATCAGTTGAAGTCTTTAGGTGTCTGTTTTCAGCTTCTACATTGTGGGAATTTTCTGCTCTTCCTTTTTTTTTAAATAACACAAGTTAACTGAATATCGTTGGTTTATTGACTTTTTATGGGATTTTTAGGGCAGATAGCGATATACTTAACGATGTATCGGCCGATATCTTTCTTAAATCTATGTTCGGTCTGTAGAGATGTGTGGATTTAAATACACCCATTTATTGTGTTAGTCCCTCAAATGGAGTTATCAAATACTTGTGGAAAAGATTTATAACGAAGACAAGCTGGTCACTCTACTGACTCCTCATGTACATGCATCACCCTTTTACACCCTGGAGAGCGCCCTCTGCTGGCTGATTAATCTAATCTGAAGATATGATTGTATGTTCTGGGGAATTATAACGGACTCATAACTCTTTGTCTTTTGCATTTTTTTTTTTAAACACAATAATTGAAATACGAGTCTATAACACAAACTGCTGAATTGTTGTCAGGTGCAGCCTGAGAGCTTTAGACAGGATAGGACTTTGAGAGTTGTGATTAACTAGAAGCCAGGCAGCCATGGAAAACATGGCGGATTTCCAGGTCAGTTCATTTGATGTGTTTGGTGCCGCCTTCAGGAGTGGCAGGCTGCAGGTGTGGAGCAGCTGAGGTTGAGCACCGTTGATCTCACCGGCGTTCCCACTCTGGAGAATCTGCACCGAGGAGTGGAGTTCGCCCTGAAGCACCGAGAGCAGGGGAGCAGCGTGTACGTCCACTGCAAGGCCGGACGCTCCCGCAGCGCGACGCTGGCTGCTGCGTACCTCATCCGGGTCAGTGTTTCACCACAGGAGGTTCAGCCTGAATTTATTTACAGTGTCGGACCAACGAGGGTCACATTCACACTGGTGTCATCATCCAGGAGATTCTGACATTCTCCGTTTTTTATCCCATGATTCTTATTCAATGAAATCGATTGTGTGTGTTTTTCTTTTAACCTGACAGTTACACTGCTGGACTCCTGAGGAGGCCGTTCAGAACCTGGCGTCTGTTCGGCCGCACGTCCTGGTGCGCTCGGCTCAGCTGGAGATGCTGAGGAGATACTACCAGCAGGTGTGCGGAGAGTCCAGCTGAGAGAGCAGAGCAGAGGGTCCGACCTCGTTATGATCTCAGCTGGCAAAGTGGACTCAGAGCCTTTTGTTTTTTTTTCAGTTGACAAATCCTCCACGTTATTGTGTTCAGTCACTGAAGACAAAATGCCAAAACTAGTCGTTTTTTTTTCCTACAAAATTATGAAATCTCAAGAGCTTTACTGGAGAATGGCTGACATCGATTCAAATCAAATCCGGCCCCGTGTCCAACTAGCGTTTTTTTTTCTTAGCGTCTTTTTCAATTGTTTTTTAATGAAGTGTGAGCGTTCACAGCAACAGCGGCTGCCCAGAGAAAAGACTCAACGGCCAGCGTTTTTTTTTCTGCCTATTTGTGAGGCTGCCCTGACCTCTTTGAGTTGAATTCTTTTTGTACTTCTCAGAAATATGCTGTTCACGTCACTGGTGCTCTTTTTTAAAATATAAAATATTCCCCATAGAATCGTGCCTCGTATCCACATCCTCTTTACTCCGCGTCTGATCGGGGGAAAAAACGATCTCAGATATAAAACATGCGGTAAAAAGTAACGGAGCAGTGTCGGTCGTACAGCTGTCATTGTCAACAGACTGTTGTCATGGAGACAGGAAGGACGTGCAGCGCTTTTCTTCTCAGCGCACAAATGCTTCTTGCACAGCCAGCGCTCTTCTGCCTGGAAAAACGCTGGGTGGACGCGGCGCCTCAGCTAGCAAAGGAAAGTCATTTTCTACCAGCAATGTTCTAAAAGATTTGTTTCAATCTGTCATCATACAAAAGTTCAACTTCTCCATTTCCTGCTTGCTGCTGGAACTCATTTCCTCTAAGTCTGTAATTCTTAAAACTCAAACTACATTCAGGAATGTTTCAAGTTAACACTCGGAAAGTTCTCCTGACCTCTGACCCCTCTGAGTGTTTGCTTAGCCAAGCTAGCCTTAGCTCTGTTTCAGACTCAAATCCTTTGCAATGCCGACTGTGATGAAAACATGAATAAATAAATAGACGTGTTGCAAACTGGCTGAATTCAGACTTCAGTGGTTCTGGAGGACGATACTTCAGTTCATGTTTCTGCTATGAAAAAGTTACTTTTTATAAATATTGTATTTCCAGAGGTCAGATTCTGGTGTTTCCTCGTACATTTAAAAACATTGAAAATTATTTGAAATAAAATATTTGTGAAATAAATACAGTCTAATGGCGTCTCTTCTCCTTTATTTTTGAGCATGTTGAGGAAACTTTCATACTGCTTTTTCAGATTTCAGATCCAGATGTTTAAATATTTACTGTGCGTCACCGCTCTCATGTTTTAAGTCACACGTGTTGACTGATTCCTCTCCCTCTCTTTCCCCTACTTCTTTCTTCCCCTTAAACTTTTATTCAATGAGAAAATGAACAAAGATGAGCCTTCAATGAAATAATCAGACACAAATCAAGAAAGAGAGACTCGTCTGATGTCTGCTAAAACAGTTCAACATTCAAATCAGGACTCCACATGTTTCTATTTTCCTGCTTTGTTTTACCTACTTGTTTTTAGAAGAAAATACATTTTCTTTTTTTTTGTTCTTTATACCTGTAACTTCTAAAAGCGTCCTGTGGAGAGGTGCTGCAAATGAGCACTTTGCTATAAACACTGAGAGCGGTGCATCTGGGACTTGAGCATGTTTAAAGGTTATATCACCAATGTTACAGTATGTCTATGTTAAATAAACACAGAACTAGATTTAATGAAAAGGTTTTTTTTTCTGTGGAAAACACTTTATTTAAAGAAATCTTAAAGTGCTACAGAGTCAAGAAAAACATAGTCATGAATACAAAAGCATGAAAGGAATTAAGAATAAGAGATAATGAGCAGGCAGAGGAATTAAGAAACTTCAGTATAAAAGTGAGACGGAAACATTGGGAAGGTTCAGGTACACCAGGGGTGGGCAACTGGCGGCCCGGGGGCCACATGCGGCCCCCATCAACCAATGTGGCCCTCAGGTCAATTTTTACATATCAATGAATTGGAAACATGAAGAAAACAAAAAAAAAAAAAAACGAAATCATGAAAACCAGAAAAATATAATAATTATAATTGATCACTGGTATATGTTGAGTTAAATTTGAGACATAATTGACTGTAATCGTTTTTGTATTCTACAATTTGGCCTCCTGGCAGTGAGAATTAAATGAATGTGGCCCTTGCTGTGACCAAAGTTGCCCCTCCCTGAGGTACACGGTGCTTTATTGGCATGAATGGTAACAAACGTTATTGTAAAAGCTAAATTATGTTGATGTATCTTAATGTATACATTTATGAATAAATACATATAAACATATACTACCTGTTTGTCTCTTATCGGGTGGCAATCATTTACAAAGAGTGCAGCTGAATGTATAAATTGTGGCTCTGCTGCTGTTAGGAAGTGATGAAAGATGAGAATTAAAAATCAGCATTAAAACAAGTAAGTGCCTGGAGATCTTGGTAAACGCTCCTCCTCCTGACCACCAGGGGGCGACAGACCGCTCCTGACCACCAGGGGGGCGACAGACCGCCAACAGTCTCATTTACGTCCGAAGAAAACATCAAGCGGAGCAGACATGGCGGCGTCGTTGATGCGGTTTGTCCGCGGAGGACTTGGAAGGAGTTACAACAGTAAGAAAGACTCTAATCTCCTTGTAGTTTGCGTGTAGTGTGTCCTTCAGTGTGCTGTCTTAATCTACGTGCGTCTGCGTATCCGTGAAGTCCACACTGGTTTATTTTTAACAGTCAAACGTCTCTGGTTTGACCTTCGAGCTAGCTAATGCTAATGTTAGCTTTATTCTGCAGCGGGTTGAATAACGAGCATGAAAACCACACAGGCATCATAATGTGAAGGTTTACTGATATATAATGGTTACATGAGGTGTTATTGGTGTATAGAGGACCATTTTAGGTGCCAGCTGATGTCATGTCCTCCTCAGCTGTAGATTCAGGTGTTTAAAGTGTTTAAGGTGTTTTACTCCGGGTTTGACTTCTTCTTGCTTTGTTTAGTTGCCAGGAGTTCCTGTGTCCTCCAGCAGCAGAGCAGGCTGCAGAGCACCACCACAGAGACCAGTCGTGAGTACACTACACACTACACACAACACACAACACCCTACACCCTACACACTACACCCTACACACTACACCCTACACACTACACCCTACACACAACACCCTACACCCTACACACAACACCCTACACACAACACCCTACACACTACACACAGCACCCTACACACAGCACCCTACACACAACACCCTACACACAACACCCTACACACTACACCCTACACACTACACACAACACCCTACACACTACACACAACACACTACACACAACACCCTACACACAACACCCTACACCCTACACACAACACCCTACACACAACACACTACACCCTACACACAACACCCTACACACAACACCCTACACACAACACCCTACACACAACACACTACACACAACACCCTACACACAACACCCTACACACAACACCCTACACACTACACCCTACACACAACACCCTACACACAACACCCTACACACAACACCCTACACACTACACACAACACCCTACACACAACACACAACACCCTACACACAACACCCTACACACAACACACTACACCCTACACACTACACACAACACCCTACACACAACACCCTACACCCTACACACAACACACTACACCCTACACACTACACACTACACCCTACACACAACACCCTACACACTACACACTACACACAACACACAACATACTACACACAACACCCTACACACTACACTCTACACACTACACCCTACACACTACACACTACACCCTACACACAACACCCTACACACTACACACAACACCCTACACCCTACACACAACACCCTACACCCTACACACAACACCCTACACACTACACACTACACACTACACCCTACACACAGCACCCTACACACAGCACCCTACACACAACACCCTACACACAACACCCTACACACAACACACTACACCCTACACACTACACACTACACACAACACCCTACACACTACACACAACACCCTACACACAACACCCTACACACAACACCCTACACCCTACACACAACACCCTACACACAACACCCTACACACAACACACAACACCCTACACACAACACCCTACACCCTACACACAACACCCTACACCCTACACACAACACCCTACACACTACACACAACACCCTACACACAACACCCTACACACAACACACAACACCCTACACACAACACCCTACACCCTACACACTACACACTACACACAACACACTACACACTACACCCTACACACAACACCCTACAGACAACACCCTACACACAACACACAACACCCTACACACAACACCCTACACACAACACACTACACACTACACCCTACACACAACACCCTACACACTACACCCTACACACAACACCCTACACACTACACCCTACACACAACACACTACACCCTACACCCTACACACAACACCCTACACACAACACCCTACACACAACACCCTACACACTACACCCTACACACGACACACAACACCTTACACACTACACACATGTCTATGTCTTGCTGTGTGTTCATGTAAATGAAAAGTTGAATGCAGTTGCAGTTTATGTCCTTAAATTTATGGTTTTACCCAATATTTACAAATTATCCCTGCACTCATGTACACGTCATGTGTCTGTCTACTCGCCGTTATGTTGAATAGTTTCTGCTTATTATATGTCTACACTAATGCACTTTAACTTATGTCAATACTGTCCATTTACAACTCTGTTTTAGCACATTTACATTTAATCTTCCATATTTAATCTTCCTATTTAAGACTAGTAACGCTTAGTTAAATCCTGGTTGTATATATTCACATTCTTAGTTTTGATATTTTTTAGTACTTATTTACTTTGTATTTTATATTATATTGTGTTTAGATTTGCTAACATTGTGTTTATTTAATGAATATTGTGTGTTGGATAACCTGCTGCTGTAACGCCACAATTTCCCAGTTTGGGATCAATAAAGTGATTCTATTCTATTTCAAGTAGTAGATTTATAGATAGATAGATACCACAAAACTTCTGTTTACTTCACTCTATGAAAACAAAGCTCAAACAAAACTCGTACACAGCCCAAGATGGGAAAGACATTGTAAATGTACACCAGAAAGATTAACTTAATGTGTATACATTTAGGATATCAATTTAAAAAAAAAAAAAAAAAGTGAATCATTTAGTTGATCTTGTTTTGTAGGACAGCATGCAAACCTGCCTCATGGCCTGTATACATAACAGTATACGGCCCCCCGTTTTTCGAAGTCATTTAAGGATACCTTTCCGATAGAAAAGGACAGCTGTCATTAAAAGTAACGCATGAACACCAAGATTCCTTCAAGTGTTTGTGTCGCCATGTCGGCTTTTTCTCCTTATTTTTAATTCCTCAAACAAACTATTTTGACACTTAATATTTTGGGGCCTCTAATTGAGACCTGCCTTCAGATGTCAAAACATACGGCAACATTTAGGCTAGTCAAAGGGACTGGGCCTTAAATGGGGAGGGGCTTTAAAAAAAAAAAAAAAGTATGGTAGAGAAATAAATAGACAGCAGTGTTTCCTCTTTTTTTAACAATTAGGGGTGGTGGCCTGGTCCCCGGCGGGGGATTGAATGGATGTGAATGTGAGTTCTGTGTGATTAGAGCTATTGTTGTTGAATTGTCCTCTTTTCTTCATGCAGCCACCGTCAGGCCCAAGGATGCTGTCACTCACAACCAGCTGACAGCGTTTGGGGAGTATGCGTCCGAAATGATGCCCAAATACATCCAGCAGGTCCAGGTCAGTTCATCTGCTTCTTTATGAACATTATATGCAACCCTGCAAATTTCAATTTGTTGCTATATTTGTCTTTATACTCATGTTATGTGTAGTTTAGCAGAATCACAACATCAACAAAAGAGCAGAGAAGAACATTCTGGAGAACAGGAAACTTAACGCAGCTGTTCAATTACGTGCGCAGAGATCGCACCGGTCATGTGCATACAGTCTGTGATTGTGCACGGATTGCAGGGAATAAACGTCACACCCTCCCACTCCCTCAAGGGGAATTCTTCTGATTTTTTTTATGCCGTTTATTTTTTAGAGAAAGAACAGTGGCTAGGGTCATAAAAAGGAGCCACACGGCCGCCCCGCTTTGAGGGCTATAGCCTCAGTTCATGGGGCGCGCAACCAACAACTAGGCTACAGGCGCCCCTAAGAAGTCAGAGATTTTATCATGCTGTGTTCTAACATCAGTTCACTCAAACTTCATGCAGAACAAATTCTAGGTGGCTGGCAGAACACTTGAGTTAAATGCATTTACTCATTTGGATGTGTAGGTGACCTGTTATAATGAGCTGGAGGTGATGATCCATCCTGATGGAGTTGTCCCTGTGCTGACCTTCCTGAGGGACCACACCAACGCCCAGTTCAGGAACATGATCGACCTGACGGCTGTCGACATCCCCACACGGCAGAACCGCTTTGAGGTAGCTGTCACACCACAGACACACAGACAGAGACTGATTCGACTTTCATTCTTTCTACACTTTTTTACTTTTCTTCTAACAATATTTCTGCGCCTGTTCTGGTACTCTAAGATGCATTTAAGTTGTCTGAATGTTGTTGATAATGTGTCTTTGTTGCTTCACAGATTGTGTACAACCTGCTGTCGCTGCGCTACAACTCCCGTATCCGTATTAAGACGTACACAGATGAGTTAACCCCTGTGGACTCTGCTGTGTCGGTCCACATGGCTGCAAACTGGTACGAGAGGGAGGTGAGTCAGAACCTGCAGGCCCAGTCTGAAGAGTCAGTATTTATTATTTGAATCCCATGTCAGTCTTTCTCAGTGGGGATTAAAAAAGGGTTCAAATGACTAACAGCTATAAAAAGTTTTGGATTTGTTTCAGTAGATTGTTTCATCCTGCAGCCATGAAACAGTCTGTGATGCCTACAAAATAATGTTCAGGGGAAATGAGACAACTTCAACTCAGTCAAGTTTGTATGTACAGCCTCTGCTGGCGCACTCACACTAGGCCCAGTTTCCGTACCGTGCTAAAGCCAATCGCCTCTTCCAAGCGTGCCAGGGGAAGTGTATCGTGCACTAGTCAAATGAACTGGACATTAGGGGTGAAGCGTGTGAGTGCGCCCTAAGAGGCAGAACCAGACTCATGATGGACAGCCGTCTGCTGAGATTGTGTTGGGCTTGGAAAGTGGGAGATGCAGGAAGAAGAGAAGGATAGAGACAAACAGAGCGACAACAACAAAGAATACAATCTGTTTATAGCTACAATGTCAGTTGATCAGTGCGCCTTTTAAATTTGTTGTAAAAAAATGGAGCCTGTTATAAAAAAAAACAGAATTCCTCTTAAGCGAGTCAAATAGATTAGCTGGAGTAATTGTGTGTGATTTTGGCGTTTCTGTGTGTTTTGCCAGGTGTGGGACATGTTCGGTGTGTTCTTCGCCAACCACCCAGATCTGAGGCGTATTCTGACCGACTACGGCTTTGAGGGTCATCCCTTCAGGAAGGACTTTCCTCTCTCGGGATACGTGGAGGTGAGTCCTGACAACAACACGTCTGCCCAGTGCAGCTTGGTCTGTTTTAATCTGCCTCATCGGTGAATTAATCATTTTGTTTCCTTCCAAAAATAAATGCAGTAGTATTGGCAGGATGTCAGTGAGACTGGCAGGATGGAAGCTGTGCCCAGACGTTTAGTCTCAACCTCTGCTGGAGCCTGTGTTTGTTTTTTTAATTAAATTATTAATAGAGCTCATGGTAATGAAGTCAGGGCTCCCACCAGCCCTGAACACATCCTCTATAGTTCCTGCCAAGAAAGGATAATTTATCCTCAAAGTACTTTCAGTAGTACTTTAAGTGCATCTATTTCCTTGAAGGAATAAATAATTAAATTAGCCTCTTAGATCTGGTTTTAAAAATGTATCATCTGGTCAGGATCTCATTAAAGAAGAAGCTCCTTGTGGATTATTTCTTGTTACATTTTTCAGTTTTTTTTAGTCTTTGGGATGCACTGATAACTTCAAAAACCCTCAAACTGCTTTGAAGAGATGTAAACATGCATTCATATTGAGAACTGACGCGTCTCCCTCCTCAGGTGCGTTATGATGACGAGGTGAAGCGCGTGGTGGCCGAGCCTGTGGAGTTGTCGCAGGAGTTCAGGAAGTTTGACCTGAACACGCCCTGGGAGGTTTTCCCGGCGCACAGGGAGCCCAAAGACGCTCCGCCCAAACTGGAGGCTGGAGAGGCTCCTGAGAAGAAATGATGTCCCTCATGATTCATCCCCACGTTCTGTCTGTCCGAGTCATTTTGGGATCCCCCGCCCCCCAACTGAACAAAGCCACCTGATTATTTATGTAAATAAAAATAAGAATAAAACAATCCTGAAAAGAGATTTTTTGTGGTGCTGTTAGTTATCTGGTCAACTGTGTGTGTACACCTGAACTTCACCCCTCTAAATGTGACTCCACATTTCATCCCTTACCCTTACAACCTTCTAAAATCAGCTGCTGATATTTCCGCGTCCTCTTTTCTGGTTTCAGCATTTCGGTGTGTTTTGGTCTCCTTGCTGCCTGGATTTCCTCCTGATTAGGACCAGTAGTCATAGTTTATATTGCCTTTGTCAGATAGGAAAGCTGAAGATAGACAGGAAAAGTTGGGAGGAGAGAGTGGTGGGCGACATGCAGCAAAAGGCTGAGGCAGAATTCGATGCCAACCGTCGCTGTGAAGAGGACTACAGCCTCCATACGTGGGGCGTGCAACTACTGGCTCCCCGTCATCGTTTATTTTGACAAAGATTTTCTAAACTTCAGGCTAAGAAAGCTTCAAGAAAAATAGACCTAATAAAAAGAAGACAAGGGGGTGTTCACAATTCTTGGCCATTTATTTGATCAACTGAATCATTTGATCTTTTGCAAAATTGACTGAATTATGAATCATCATTTCAATAATTACTAAGAGTCTTAAAGACCTATAAAAACTTTCTCTGTAAAGCGTACATTTGTGACACACGCTGGATAATGTCACTGAAACAGCTGAAAGAGAGTAGGCAGGGTGAGTCAGTCATTATATTATTAGACAGGTGCCAAATGTGATGATAAGGGGTGTAAGCGTGAAGGATTTAAATATTTATTTTTTAATTTCAGTTGGACTTGAAACTAAAGCAGCAGCCAATCCTCTTGATTACATAAAGATATTTTTGACAACAAAACTGAGCGGTAGTGGTACTTTGAGTAAACAGAAGACTAGAAAAGAAAAGTACAACCTCAAGTCCGTTCACCATTTAGCTTATCCCTTTAAAATAAAGTGAAAAGAGTAAACTTCCAACAGTGAAGTCTTCATGTATGATATTTAAACTGGTGCAGTTTCAGCAAGGCACCATTATCACAGTGAAACCCTTGTTGAGAAAAGATCTTAAAAGTTTCCTTTTAACCAGTAAGAGGGTTAAATCTTAAAATGTTCGTACTTTAGTTGAGAAGTATGATTGTTTTGATCTACCCATACTGACCTTCTCCAGCAGGTGGCACTGCAGCACGCGATGTAAACTCAGGAACGTGCGGCAGTCATTTCTCTACCTGCTGAACGCGGGGATCTTTAACTTCTGTCTTTATCTCGTGTCAGTGATTGAACAACAGCTCGGTCTTTACTTTTCTGTTTTTTATTCAGTCAAACATGTTCATTGAAGCATTCAGTTTACACCAAAGAAATACTCAAAACATTTCAAAGAGTCAACATGAGCCGGACTACTGAAAACAACACGTGGGTCAACAAGTTGTTTAGTTTTTCTTTTACTTATTTTTCCATCATTTGGTGTTGTTGTTTTTCCCGTTCCTCTTTGGCTTGTCTGCCAAGATTAAGAGGCAACAACCAGGGGCGTGTCCAGACTTTCCTGGGGTGTCCATTGATTTATAACTACTTACAGTAAAGTATCATTCACATGTTAACTAAACAGACATGGCAGCACCATTAAAATCCCTGTGGCTTAATTTAGTTTTAAATTTAAGGATTTAAAAAACCCAACATAATGTCCAAAGTTACAATTTTACATACTTAAAATAACTGCAGGAAAAGTCCTGCACACTGCAACTCATGGAAATTATTTAGTACCAAAATGTTGCAGATAAATGTATTTTTTCAAGTCTGTCAGTTTGCGACACAGTCCAAATAGAGGGCAACAGTGACTGCCCACTTTTTCGGCGGCTCTGTTTCCGGAAGTAAATTTCCCCTTTCAAATCCTCCCTTGATTTTTCACTGAATTCTTAAATCAAGAGATTGAAGCCTGGAGCCAAGACAACCAGCTACCCCAAAACATATGACTGTAGTTAATTTAATTTGGCGCCAAAACGTCATTAAAAACTGAGAAAAAGGCAAAGGTACAGGACTGTGTACATAATTTTCGTCCGGAGTCCAGGAACTACACATCCCACAATCCATTGCAAATGATATAGTTTCCTCTTAAAAGTAACTTTTGTCGTTGTTTCCCCGCTGGAGCTCAATTAAGTTTTCTAATCTAATCTAATTAATATATCTTGCAGTTTGTATTTTGTGAGTATAGGAAGGTTATTAGTAGCCTACGTTTCGTGTTAGGTGACTAACCAGCTAGCTAACCGGTTGAAACTGTCTGGTTTCGCACATGGCACAGAGAGGCGGGAAACATTGCCATGGAAACAGCAAGCTAAACCAATCAGAGACATCGCTGTGACACTCTATGATCGTAAGTAGAGTAGTTCTTTGCCCCCATATCGTGACTAACTCTTGTTTTTCTTAAAACGAGGTTGATATCATACAAACTTGTGTCTCCTACAAGATCATAAACCATCGTTTCACACTCAGGTAGCTCGTGGTCAGCCTAACTTGGATGGTTATGACATGGCTAAAAATCATGTCCGCTATGAAGAACTTTAATAGGATTTTTACTTCCTATGGCCCTATGGTTGATTGTAACACAAGTCCTCCCCTCCAACAAGACATATAGCTAATTATAGTTCAGGTATTTGGGGTGGCACCCGGGGTGGCCAATCAAATTTTAAGGGGGGCCTATGCCACCATCCTTCTGGACACGCCCCTGGCAACAACCAGGAAGTATTTCATATTTAACAAACGACCCACGTCTGCTCGACATAGTTTCTAATACAGAATGATCGATCGTCATCAGTTCAATCAGAAATAAAGAAGCACAGACCAGAAACATCCAACATAATGTCAGGAACTGTACAGATAAATCTCTGGATGACAGTTAACAGGCGCAGATTGAGCCTGTGAAGCTGCTCAGACATCTTCATTATTTTTTTTTAACTCACTGCAGTTTCAGTTACGTGCATGCATATCAAAAGTGCTTCTGACACCATAGTGAACGAACTCTGTGTTTTCATTACCAACTTTCACCTTCACACACCGGTTTGTCTAACTGGGTCAGCGCCGTCTGAAGGTGAAACTGAAAGCAGAGCTCCTGTGAGGCTGGGATGGAGAAACCACCAAAGGGTCTGACTGTGACAGAATACATTACGATCTGAAATGAGGCACAGTCACAGTTTAATTTCATACTGTGAAAAACGAAATTATCTCATTGTCCAAAGTGTTGTCACTTTCTGAGAAGTCAGTGCAGCCGCGGAGGACAGGAAATTGTCGATTAGTAACAGTGTGAGGAGAGAGAGAGAGTCCTGCTGAGAGTGTGACTCCAGAGAGTAACTGTCTCTTATTAGTTTTTGGAGAAGGTGTGAGACCATTTCCCGCTGACGATGAGATCACTGAGAGGTGACAGAGAAAAATTCAGCTTTCCAGACTTATCCTGAAAGTATTAGATAGATTTTTTTTAATGTTTTTTACAGATCATAGTACATTTCTTAGTGTGCTTTTATTTTCTTTAGTGACTCTCAAGGTGCCCAACTGATGCACATCAGGCTGCAGACATTTACTTGATGAGATTTTGTTATTCCATTACCGTCAATATTTTATACTGATCAGTTCACGGTGATGATTGTGAAAGCTATGAACAGAAAGGTCATTATTCCCTTTGTTGGGCCAACGTCTTCAAGTAAATGACAAACCTAAATATGTCCACATTTTCTGGGGAATCCCTGCAACCTCCTCAAGGACCCCTCAAGGGTCAACGGACCCCGAGTTGAGAAAGCTTCTGTCCTGCATCAGCTATTTTAGAGTATTGCCTTCCACAAGCTTTTAAAAAAAATGCTACTTAGGTTTAATGGAAGCTTCTTAGCATGACACACGTTTTAAAAAACGAACCTGGTGGTTTTAAAAGTCTGTTCCAGGACCTGCAGGAGTCCTTTCAGCTGAGACCCCCTTCCATAGTCGTCATGACTTCAACATGGACATATCAAATCTTTTGCTCCTGCCAGATATAGTCTTAAGAGACATTGGAAGCTTGTGACTTATTTGGAGGACCACTTAACTTATCAAACGTATTACAAGTTGTGCTTGTGTGAATCTGGTGAGTATAAAACCATCATTCACTGTGTTTAAAGGCCCTGACACACCAAGCAGACGGCAAAGAACTAGTGGAGACAAAGGCCGACTGTGACGTCGCCTCAGGGTGCCTTTTGCTTTTGCCAAAAAATTGCACTTGAACACACCGCAAAGACTACAGCTGACGGCCAACCACCACGTACATTCTACTCATGTCTGAGAGGAAATAACTCTCCATGCCAGCAGGCGGCGGTAGTCCTTTGTTAGGATACGAGAAGACCATTTTCATGTCTTCATGGATACTACAGCGGCATGCTCAAGGGGCTTTCCTGAACCTGTGTCGAGAGCTGGAGATAAATGAAACCTTGGAACATTACTCTCTCCGACCGAAAAAAGGAAGACGGGGGCCGACGGATAGTGATGGAGCGGGACACACCGCAAAAACGAGGGCGACGACCGCTCACCGACGGTCCAATTAGGACCCACGGCCGATGATCTCCTTGATGCGTCAGGGCCTTTAAGCCTCTGTTTTGGTCACCACCAACTCAGGGTTTGTATTTGGAATCCCCCCAGGAGGAGCTGGAAAACATTGCTGGGGAGAGGGGAAGTCTGGGTTGACTTCCTGTGCCTGCTGCCACCGCCACCCGACCTCTGATAAGCGGAAGAAAATGGATAGATGGATGGAATTCAAAATGTCCTTTTTCAATCCTTTCAGCACAAAACACAAAAAACTGATTAGTTCAATATATTACAATGTGACTTAATTAAAGTGGAAACAGAGCTCTCTTTCTGCTGAGTAAGTAAACAGCTCACTGGTGTGTTGAGACCACAGTTCATGTCAGAATTTAACTATTCCAGAACTCTCATCCAGTTAACTCTGATGAAAAAGTAAATGTCAACGTTAAATCACTGCAAAGTATCACTTCACATGGTGCCTCTGCAGCACAGTCGGTGATTTCATAAAGTCGAGGTTCATCACATTTGAACAGCGTCATCTTCCTCCGAGCGGCGTGAAATTAAACAGACATGCATATTACAGCGGGCCCCGAGAGAAGCACTTCAATTTCCCCCACAGTGGTCGCCATCTGAAGAAATGATTTAAACGCTGCTCAAATTAGAATCAAATTACGGTCCAGATCTCAGCAGGCCCAGAGGCGGCATGTGGTCAACAGTCGGTATACGGGATGGATATGCAGTCTGCACTTTTTGAACAGAACTGTGTCGGTTCGTCCCGCTGTCCTCTGCTCCCGCTGTGGCCGAGAAAACGCTCAAGAGTGAAGAGAAGAAAAACTCATTTTGACACAGAACACACTGTGCATATTGTTTTCACATGCCTCCAAAGACATAAAGAAAAATAAAGACTTTTTTTTTTTTTTTTACACACAAGCAGAAACACAGAGTCAGTGACGAGGATAACAAATGCACTTACAGAAATATTTCACTGTAAAATCAAAGTTCTGTGATTACTCCCTCGCCTCCGTGTCAGTTAAAACTCATGTTGGATTGTTACACTTTCTGATACCACACCTAGGGGGAAATCTGGGATTTCTTTTACATATTTTTCATTTAAAGCACAGGATCACTCCGAGTGATTGCTCCAGCTGGTAGTCTTTAAGAAGACGCAGTGATGGCAGCAAGGCTAGTAGTTGTTTAGTTCTATAAATGTATATTGCTGTAAGGATTATTCAGGGTTTTAGCGTCAGCAATTTCAGGGTTAAGTGTCTTGCCCAAGGACACATTGGACATGTAGCTGCAGAAGCTGGGGATTGAACCCCAAACCTTTTGGTTGAGATGACCGACTATGCCAACTGAGCCACAGCCGTGCCGATCAGGCCAATTTGCTCTGAGGATTATTTTGTAGTCATAACAGAACGTCTTGCAATCACCAGCTGAAGCAATCTACTGGAGCAACTCCAAAACTTTTTGTCCCACTTAGAAACTTCCCCCAAAATGTCTCAGAAATGGGGCCAAGACGGCTCCAATTTAACAATCCTGGCTTACTGTTCAATAAAACAGCATTCAATTTGTTCTTAGGTCTGATAATTAGACTGGATTGAGTCTTTGTTTTCACTTTAAAGGGGAGTTGTTGGCTGCAAGTTTTGGATCCGACATCCTTCCACCAGAGGATGAAAAGATGCGTGTCCACTTAAATCACGGTGCACTGAAACTGGGCAGAGAGGAGTCTTTGAGCTGTAAAATAGATGGAATCATTTCCAATGTTTCGGCGGTGGCCGTTCCCATTTAATTGAGAGTTACGCTGACACAGAGGAGAGCAGGTAAGGACTGAATTTTCATTTCAGAGTTCACGATTGCAGTCCTTCAGGGTCCACATTTGAGTGTGATGAAGTTATTTCCTGGGAAACCATTACCTGGGAAATGAAGAGATTTTCATTTAAGCTCTGCACTCAAGGTTCAAGGTCTCTGTGACTTTGCAAAGGAATTCATATGAAGAGGAAGCTTCACAGAAAACATTCATGATGAGTGTTTACACACAGTTCATAATCTGCCCAGCGACTTTTCTGGACTCTGAGACTTTTCCCACTTTGCATGAATTCCTCTGACAATGTTCAGTCTGTATCATTGTGTGCTGCAGCTAGGGTTTCTTTTCTGACTGGCTGCCGGTGGCCGTGTTGGTGGAGGTGGTGGTTGTGGGGAAGTCTGGGTAGACCAGGAAGCCGGTGAAGGTGATGTACTTGGCGTGGTTGCTGTAGGCCCCGAAGCCGTCTCTCTGGTGCGAGTAGAGCCAGACCGTGTCTCCGGGTTTCAGCGACAGCATCAGGCTCTGACTCTGCAGAGCTTTCTCCCCCACGCTGTCGTCGTAGATCATCGCCTGCACCTCCAGGTGGTTCTTCATCAGCTTCACAGACAGCGTCTTCTGCGGCAGCTTGCCCACGTTGAAGGAGAAGTAGTAGGCGCCGGGCACGCGGCAGGTGAACAAACCCTCGGTCACGTTGAAGTCCTCTCCGATGTTGACAAAGGCGGTGTCGAAGCTGACTGGCTGGTGCTGCGGCAGGCCCACCTGGTTGACTCCCACAATGCTTTGGGTGCGTCCAACAGAGAAAGCAGACCTCTGGTCATCCTCCTCATCATCATCCTCATCCTCCTCTTCCTCAGTATGTTGCACCCTCTCCTCCTGTGTGTCTCTTGTTGCAGACACTTCATGCTCTGTGCCCTGGTTATCGTCTGACAGGGGGTTGTTCTCCTGCAGGGGCTGCTGGGAGTTGGAGGCAGGAGGGTGCTGGTGGTGGTGTGTCTGGTAGCCGTAGGTATCAGGGTAGACGAGGTAGCCGTTGAAGGTGGTGTAGTGCCCGGTGTTGCTGTAGAGCGCGTAGCGAGGGTCACCATGGAGGCGGAGCCAGACGGTGTCGCCGAAGTCGAGCTGCAGCATCACGCTCTGACTCTGCACCTGAGGAGGGAAGCAGACTTTAGTAACCCACCTGATCCACACCCCAAGGTCGCTCTCACACCAAAACATAACCCGATCGTCTATACGTCTCACAGGTCCTCATTCAGAGGAACGTGTAGAGTAATCCGCTCTGTTCTGCTTTCATTCACCACAACAACATGAACACACACTCTGAGATAAGACCCGCAAGGCTTCATAATACAGTGTGAGCTCTGACATGACAAAAGACCTCTGTTAACATTTCCCTCGAGGGTGAAATCCATCCTGCAACAGCATTCTGTTATTGTTTAGATAAGAGGCTTATAGACGTCTGTAGTTCAACATTTTGCTGATGTTGAATTGTTGTTCTAATTAGAGGCAACAGTTAGCTTAGCACAAGGACAGGAAGCAGGGGAAAAAAGCTACACTCACTGTCAAGGGTAAATGTCTGTGTCTGAAATTATACACACAATACTTGAAGGAAGATTTAAGGTTGTTGTGTTTTTTTAATGGGATAAATTTAAAATAATGAAAATAAAGGAGAAAAACAATCGGCTGGTTGGAGCTCAGAAGACAAAACAAAACAAAGACAAACAAATCTCAGAGGTCTCAACCCACCTTTCTCTCCTCTCCGGCGTTTTCCTCGTACACGATGGCCTGCACCTCGTTCCTGTTCTTCATCAGCATCACTGACAGGTCTTTGTGTGGAAACTTTCCCACTGTGAAGGAGAAGTAGTAGGCCCCGGGGATACGACAGCGCAACATGCCAGCTTTGGGGTCAAAATCCCCACCGATGTTGACATACACAGCGTCAAAGGTCACTGTCATCTTGGGCCCGCCCTCCATGCTGTTGGTGCGAGCGACGGAGAACGCCGAACGTAGCTCCACTTCATCCTGCAGACGGGCGAAACCCAAGACACCGCCCGTATGGCTCAGGCACAGCAGGCCAATCAGCACGCTCGCTTGGAGCAGCATTGTATCTGCAGAAACATAAAGAAAAGGGATATGAGCACATTGCTCTATTGAATAAACTAAAACTAGCGTAGTAGGTTGAAAACGCTACATATGAAGTTTTTATTTAAACAAACACCCCCCATTTTTTGTAATATTTTATGAGCTATTCTAATTGTAATGACAGATTTTCACATGTAATATTCACTTTACCCAGGAGATGGCGCTATTATGCCACTGTGGATTCCCAGAGCTACTTTATCACTTAGTCCTGCACATGCGCGTTCAGACAATAAACGAGCTGGCATGAGCAAGACGCTAAAAGTTTCTCCTCTTATCATTCCACAGATTTATTTTAGGCTACGCAGTGCTTCCTAGCCTGTGTAACCTTTGCTGCCGGTCCAGATTTCCCCTAGGTCTGGTGCTGGTAACACTAGCTTAAAAAGTCACCTAGCAAGTTGTGTAAAAATCCAAATATAATTGCAATCGGTGGAGTCGCCCCCTGCTGGCCATTTAAAAAGCAGTCTTAAGTACAGTGACCACCAACTTTTCTGCACGGCTGTGGTTCTGGAAGTCAATTTCCCCATTCGCATCCTAGATTGACAATTCAGAAAATCCTTACACCAACAACTTGGAACCAAGACAACCAGCAACCTGAATACTCGTGACTATAAAACATTTGATTCAGCACATAAAACGGAGAAAAGGGGCAAAGACTGTTTACATCTTTTTTTCTGGAAGCGAATGAACTACAAATCCCACAATCCATTGTGATTCCAACAAGACCCAACAAACGATAATTTGTTTCAAATGTTTGAAGGTAAAGCATTGAAGCCCTACACCTAAACAGACAATAGCCGCATAATTTAAGACAGCATGCATTTGCACATCACAAACATTCAACAAATAGGCTCATGCATAAAACACAAACACAGAATCCCTGTGCTGCTATTCAAGCATATCGCCCTCTGCAGAGGAGGTATTAATGTGTCTTTTATTAGCAGAGACAAGCGCTCTTGTAGTCTCATTGTCCTCCACTAATGAAGCAGCAGGAAGCAGACACACACACACACACATACAGACACACACACACACACAGGTGGAGCTGACAGCGCTCTCACAGTATCCTCGCACAGAAACAGATACCGTGTGCAGAGCTTCAGACCCAGAGGAGGTGCTCAGTGCAGTTTATCGGCCTACATGAGGAGAATATAAGGAGAGAAAATATACGACGCAGCTCGAGCTTCTCCTTTATCACCTCAATAATGAGGTTAAGAAGTGGGTCAGTAAGGCTGCTGCATTTTCTGTTTAGTTTTTCTTCTCATGCAAAAGGCCTCAGCAGTACAGGTAGTCCAGGTATCTACGGTAAACCTCTTCTATGACACTTTACTATAAGGTACAGGAGTAGCAGGAGGGACAACATGCAAACTCCACACAGAGAGGCTCCCGTCAGACGAGGATTAGAACCAGAAACCTCCTCGCTGTGAGGCAACACCACTAACCACTACACCACCGTGCAGCCCATTCAGTAACATTTGTCATTTGTTCCACAAAATGTCGCTCAACTCTCAACTCTACTGAACTGTCTAAGTGCCATTAAAGCATGGATGGTAGACAATTGCTTACAACTAAACTCTGATCAAACAGAAGGCCTTATCTCCGTCCCTGAGGCCATTGTTCCCAGTGTTATGAAAAACTTTGTTCCCTATCTGTTCCTATTCTGCGCACTCTATTGCATTCCTTTTGATCAGTCTCTGAAACTTTACCATCATATTAATTGTCCGGGTCGCTTTTGTTTTTGTTTGTATTTTGTGGATGTTTTGTCATATCTATAGTTGTGCAGTGAACAGGTGGCCATATATGGACCGATCAGCTGCTACAGCACAGTGAGTGCAGAACAACTAGCTGAATCCCCATCTCCAGGGCTTTCATCCTGATTGTGCCCGCACAAACCGACAGACAGTGTCTGGTGTTTGTTTTTGAGTGGTGCGTATGAGACAGCGGACATCCTCTGTCTGCGGGAGTTTTCAAAGGAAACCTTATTGATGATTGTCCATGACCCGTCCTGTTTTTACCTGTCCAGTCTGAGCTTTGGTCGTGCATCAGAAACGATCCAGTCTGACAGTGTGAACACATTTTATACTTTAGTCCAAGGGTCAGCAAATACATTTGCACAAAGGCCAGTTGTTTTTTCTTGACAGACACTTTGGGGGGCCGGACTTTAAAATAATGTTTGTACATTATCCTGAAAGCCATCAAGCCTGATGTGAGAAAGTTGGTGTCAGAAGGGAAATGTAATTTATCCCCTTTACCTAATGTAAGTATTTCAGCCTTGTGATTTAATGTTTTTGTTTTTTGTTTAATCACCCAATATAATTTGTATTCTGAGGGCTGGATGGGAAGCTTTGGGGGACTAAATGTGGCCAGCATGCCTCCAGTTGATGATCATTTCTTTTGTCCTTTCCTGGTTTACTTTGTCACTTCTCTGTCTCTCATTTGATGCTTTACTTCCTTCCTTTGTTTCCTTCCCTTCCTTTGTGACTGTGAGCCTCGCCCTTATTGTGTCTGCTTGTGTTTTCACCTATTTGCTGGAACTTCTTGGTTTGATTTCTTTTGGATATACCTCAAACATTTCATGGACTCTGCTACGATGGCAATTCTTTATACCCACTTTTGTTCATTTTAAAAATGTCACAGTCTGCCCTTCAGTCTTCTTCCTTTGTGAGATAAAAAAAACGATATGCTAAACCCGAGAAACCTAAAACAAATCATCTCCCTGTCTCCCTTTCCCCCCTCCAAGGTATTAAACATACATTCGATTTGGTAGACTCATGTTTGTTTGTTCCAGCCATAAAATGTACATTTTTCATTTTGTTTGTGGAGACGGTTTGAAAACATCCCTGGAAATCCTGCTTATGTTGTTTTGGAACAGTTTTTGGCAAAGAGGACATCCATGTGTGTCAGACTCATCACTTTATTTACAGAACTGGTATGAATCAGTGCTCGTCGTGCCGTGTTTCATTCTGACAGCCTCCTCTTCACTCTGCAGGAAGGATTTCATCATCACTGAAAGTAGAAATGTGTTTAGATGCTGAAGATGTGAAATGTGCTGCTTTTTTTTTTTACGGCTTCTCTCTGCTTTCACAGTCTCAGCGCGTCATCGCCTGGGCCTTGAAGTTATTTACAGTTGAAAACTGAATGCTCCTCTTGTATGTTTGTACCGAATTGACCTCTTTAAATGGAAACTAATTATAGCGCTTAATTGTACTTAAGGCACTGAGGCAGGACGGATCGTTTTTGTCTGATTACTCGTCCCGCTGCAGCAGAGGGAGAAATCCATTCTGTGAGAGCAAACAGTGCTGCACTATTTACTCTCTGCAAATAGTACAACTCAGCCTTAATGAGAGTGAATTCACATTTTAACTGTATAGCCTAAAACAATAAGAGCCTCATTGACGGTGCATCAGTGAGGCTTGTTGGTGTAATGGCAGCTCGCACGGTGGAATAATGTTTGTTTGTGTGTGTGATGGCAGCCCGTTTCTTTTTACCCGACAGACTGAACTCCTCAGAGAGTCGGTGTGACGCTTCAGGTTCAAACAGAAACCAAAGAATAGATCAAACAAACCTCTTCCATAATGAGCACCCATGGGAGAAAAGCACCGAGAGACGCAACAGAACACAGCCGAGTAGAAAAGACTTCAGCAGAATTAATCCAGGCACGTAGCACCGGTACACATGGTTTGCATTTTTGTCGCTTTTACTAGATCTTGTTTTTCAGTATGCACACAATTTTAAATGGTTATATTCACACTCAGCAATCATTTCATCACGCTTGCTTTAGTTCTGATGGTTTAAGCAGAAATTGTCTGTGTCAAGGCGTATAAAGGTTTCAGGGTTCAGATCTTTAGAGCTCCGCTCCGCCGAGCTGAGTGCAGCACAAGGTCTTACTTGCCGTTCTCAAGCACAGCTCTGAATTTAAAAAATGTTCAACTTGGGCGCAGTGCTCAGTGACGTTACCTCCGAGCGTCTAATAGGAGGGAAGATCATATCACAACAAACAGTTTTCCCACTTTCCTGAGCTCTAGTTTACTCACCTTCCGGGACATTGGAGAGAAATGTCTGGTTTAAAAAGAAATGTCCAACAGTTTGGGCGTACCAGGTGAGTTTAAAACAGCAGCAGAAATGTGTGTTCTAGTTGTGAAAGCAGTCGTTATAAAGCCGACAGCCTAAACTCTCTCAAGTCCTGTCTTCCCCTGAGGATTTCATGAACACTCAGCCTCTCCTTCTGTGCTGCTTCTGTCCTCCTCCTCAGCAGTAGAAAGATCAGAGCTTTCTACTGAATAAAGGACCGATACAAACATAATGTGCATCCAACAAGTAGGCTAGCTATCTTCCCGACTAATGTTTCGGTCACCTAGCAACATGCAGCGTTGCTTTTCGCTCGTGTCCCCTCCCCTTCTGCTCTGCGACCTATACTCCTTAGTGAGTGCAGCACACACCGCTCCTCTCTGAAAGGCCCTTAAGATTGTATTTTAGCAACCTCGTTTTGTTGGTTACCAAAGAGCCTCTTTCTTTTATGTCCAGTGAATTGTTTCTTTTCTTTTCCGTGACTGAGGTATCAGATAGATTCATGAAGACAAACCCTCAACTCTGTTGTTTCTCTTCAAATGCAGATTTCTACTGAGAAAGTGAACGCGCACTTTGCTGCAGACTGTTGTGGTTCGTGGAACAAATAGAGTTTGCAGAGAGACAGAGTTTGATCCTGCAGATCTCTGACACATGAACGACTCATACGTCACCAGTGTTTCAGAGAGGGTTAGCGTCTTAAACAGCTTGATCGACCGGACGACCAGATGCATGATTAATCATCCTGTAGTGTTCAAGACATCCTCCAATGTGTTGGCATATTTCAGTCTAGCTCCGCTCGGAGGACTGACTGACTGACTGACTGACTGATGCCTCTTGATCTTCACTGAGAGGAGTAAAGACTAAAGAGAAAAAGAGAGCAGTGATGGCTTCTGAAGAAAAG